GCCTGGTCATGGCGCGCACGCGCCCTGTGGCCTGGCCCGGCAGGTCCTGGCCGTCGGAGCACGAACGCCGACAGGCTTGCCTGGGACATTCCAGCGAGGGCGCCACACCTGCGAGGTGCAGCATGGCCCCAGTCCCTGTCGGACGGTTCGACGGAACCTGAGGCATGTGTTGATGATGATGAGCTTGTTTTGCAACACCGCCACCAGAAGTTTGGAGGGGGGCAGGAGAAGGAGGGCCAGGAGGAGGGGGACGAACAGGAGGAGGAGGAGGAGGAGGAGGAGGAGGAGGAGGGAGGAGGAGGAGGAGGAGGAAGGAGGAGGAGGAGGAGGAGGAGGAGGAGGAGGAGGAGGAGGAGGAGGAGGAGGAGGGAGGAGGAGGAGGAGGAGGAGGAGGAGGAGGAGGAGGAGGAGGAGGAGGAGGACCCCCCCTCCAACTTATGGTGATGGTGGTGGAAAGCACGCCCATCATATAAGACCACATCCAGATCAACGCCAACAGGTCCCGCCAGATGCTCGGGCCTCCTGGAGGCCAGGGGGGGAGCCTCCTCTGGTCACAGGGGGGGCAGTGCGAGCGGGACGCTTGCTGGGAGAGAGCGCTGGACTGAACAGTGGTCGGGCGTGATGAGGCACCTCTTCAGTGTACCCGCCCGTCCACTTATTTCTATTTGCTGACGACTGGTCGGGGCAAGGAGTGCCAGCTAGGTTCTAGCGGCAAAGAAACCCTGGTCGTGGAAACGCCGTTCTTGGGGCCTCCCGGGCCGTTTGGGTAGCAGCGTTACCATGAGCCGTAGCGCAGCCTCTCGGGCCGTCTGGGTAGCAGCGCGGCCTCTGGGGCTGTTTGGGTCGCTGCAGCGTTGCATCGCCAAAATGACTCCGAAAGCTGTGGGCGGTCTCTCGGAGGTTTACTACAGCGGAGACCCATGCCAAGAAATACCCTGGTTGCATCCAGGTCGCCCTGGGTTTCTTGAGATTCGCTGGCAATGGTGTGGAAAGCGTTACGTTCCCACACCAAAAATCGATGGACGTCCTGGGGTCTCATCGCTGCTGTTGTTGGGACACTCGTTCGACGCCAAGCGACACCAATCGACGCCAATCGACACCAATCCGACACCAATTGGCAATCGATTGGTGTGGTGCCGATTGGTGTCGCCACGTCGGGCCTGCCCGGGGCTTTGAGGGTCGGACCGAAGTTCGACCCTCGGCGTTCGAGAGTCGAGAACGGCCCCCGAGGGATCGAAGTTCGAACCTCGAACTTCGGGGACCTCAAGGATCGATGCTCGAAATTCGAGGTCCGGGCCTCGGCGTGAATCTACGGACGTCCATCCTTTTTTTCGGCAGGCGTGCTTGCGAAATTGAGGCTGGTACCGCATGCGGCCGCTGCCTTGGAGGAGCGCCGTGGAGATCCCCGCGGGTTCAGAAAACGAGTGAGGGACGTGCGGAACTGCGACAAGTACCGCATGCGGCCGCAGCCAGTGGGGTTTTTGGTGGAGCTCCCAGTGGGGCCACGAAACGTGCGAAGTGTGAGCAAGTACCGCACGCGGCCGCTGCTGCTGGGGCATGCGGTGGGGGAGGGGGGTTCTGGGCTGGCGGTCAGGGGCCCGTTCCGGGGCAGTATTTTGCACTCGCCTCGGCGCCGCGCACATTTGTTTCAAACACGGCGTTGTCGCCTCGGCTCCGCGCACACGTGTTTCAAACATGGCGTTTCCGCCTCGGCGCCGACCACGGTTGTGGCAGCATCCGGATAGCGACTGGAGCCTCGTTGGAATTTCGGAGGTCGGCAGTGCCTGCGCGCGGCGTTTGCCGTCTCCGCCAGGGGCGGCAAAGCCTGCGCGCGGCGTCCGCCGTTTTTTTTTTGAAGTTTTGGATACACATTATTTACGAGACATCCCTTGGTATGGATCTCTTGGTAAACATTTTTCCGCAAGAATTCCGTAGTACAGAGTCCTGCGTAAATGCCCCATAAGAAAGCATCCCTCGTAACAGTTCCTTACTGAAATCAGTTGACTGCGGGGATGTCTTCGTGAGGGATCCTTAGGAAGGATTCCTGCGTAAGGATTCTTCTATGCATATTCCTTACTGAGAATTCTTGAACAAGGGTCCATCGGCGAATGTTCTTTCATATAGATTGTTGAGCAAAGTTTCCATAATACATTTTGCTTAGTAAGGACCCTGGGTTGAGAATTTCATTGTATGGACTATTGGATAACGTTTCCTCATTAATGATTCCTGAAAGAGGGTTCCTCGGTAATGATTCCTTAGTAAGGAAACCTGATTACGGGTTCCTGTATAAGTATTCTTTTTGTGAGGGTTCCTTAACACAGATTCCACGGTAAACTGTCCTTGCGGGAAAAAACGTACCTTGGTACAGCTTTCTTGATACAGATGTATTCAGACATATGCATTGTCACAGATCCTTTAATAGTAATTCAGCCGTAAGAATTTCTTAGTGAAGGTTCCTTTTAGTAACGATTCCTGACTAAGGATCTTGAGTAACGTCGCCTTGGTAAAAAAAGGTTCCTTGGCACGGATTCCGTTGTACATATTCTTTCGCACAGATTCCTTATTAGCGGCTCCTTATCAAACAATCCCGCCTATAGGCTCCTTACATTACGAAGCATTCTTCAATAGAGGCTCCGTCTTAAGGACCCTTTCGTAACGATTCTTGGTTAATGGTTCCGCAGTAAATATTCCTCACGAAGGAATCCTTGCAACAGATTATTTATCAAGGACTCTTTAGTACCGATTTCTGGTTCGGATTTGCCCATGAAGATTCCTCACTATGTGTTTCTTAGAACAGATCCCTCGCACAATATTTGTCCTTTAACACAGAAGATGATGTCTAAGGCTTGCTTAGTTGATTCCACAGTCAGGATTCCACAGTGATGGTTCTTCAGTCAGGGCTCCTTAGTAATGGCTGCTGGGTAAGAACTGTTCAATGCCAGGCATTTCCGAACGATGCCAGGCAATGCAAGAGCAGGACCACTCGTTGCCAAACATTGCCAATCACGACCACCCAATGCAAAGCAATGCCAAGAACGACCAACCAACACCAATCACCTCAAACGAATGCCAAGCAGTGCCAAGCATGACCAAACAACACCAACTACGACGAACTAGTGCCAAGTACGACCATCCAATGCCAAGAATTTCCTACCAATGCCAGGCAATGACCAACCAATGCCACGCAATGCCAAGCACGATAGCCCAATGCCGCACACGACCAAGCAATGCCAAGCAATGCTAAGGTCGACCAATTAATGCCACGCACAGTCGCGCAATGCTGAGCAATGCCCAGCACGAACAACCAGTGCGAAACGCAGCCGATCACGGCCATTCAATGTCAAACACAACCAAGCAACGCCAATCACAACCAACCAAGGCCAAGAAGAAACACTCGATGACATGAAGTTCCAAGCATGACCAACCAATGTCAAGCAATGCTTTGTCCATTAGCACTGGAGCAGCTCGTTAGCAGTGGAGCATCCCCAGAGCATACATGGCATCGTACCGAGGTTCTTCTACAGAAGCCACCAGTCTGAAACAAACGCCGTCAAGGCCACCGCAAGCACGCCGCCGTCGACGAACGGCAAAGAAACGCAAGGGGCAGGCAAAGGGGGGAAGAGGACCAGGAGGCCTAAGGGGCACCATAGGACATCGGAAGCGGCGGTGGCGGGGCCGGTCCTCCAAACCAGTAGTGGCGGCTTCGCAGAAGGGAGAGGGGGGGAAACAAACAAGAAACAGCAATCCCACCCTTTCCTGGCGATTTTTGCGATTTGTTTTGGTTATCCCCCTCCAAGAGGCGCCACAGGATGGACGTGTATCAGTACCGTCCACGAGGGGGGGAAGGGGGAGGGAGTTCCGTCTCTTTTCCTCCGCCTCCTCCTGTCCATTCACGGCGGCCTCGGAGCACGGCGGGGTGGGGTGGGGTGGGGAATCACCCCGCCTGTTTGGCGCCACGGGAGGAATGTGGTTCCCTCCCGCCCACGAGGGGGGAAGTGGGGTGGAAGCTCCGTGCTTTCACCTCCGCCCCCTCCTGTCCCTTACTCCCTCCCCTTCTCTGCCTCAGTACCACCCGCGTCGTCCCTTCCTCCTTCGCCTCTTCCCTCCTCGTCGTTCCCTCCTTCTTGGCCTCTCCCCTCCTCGTATTCCCTCTTGTTTTCCGCGCCCCCCAAAAACCGCCACCCCCAGAATCCCCCGTATGGCATGCGGTGGAGCTCCCCCTTTGGGGCCACGAAGCGCGTGAGGGGCACGCAGGTACCACAAGCGGCCGCGGCCACTGGATCCTTCGGTGGGGCTCCATATGAGCCCGCGAAACGCCTGAGGGTATCAGGCTCGATTTCCACGAGCGCCAACCGCGCAATCAGCAGCCCTGCCCGCAAGCCGGCCGAATTCCAATACTCCCAGGGCCCTGCCCGACCAGCCAATCGACCAGCAACGCGCCTGCGCGCGCAGCCGACGCGGCGAAGCCAACGGACGCCGAGGCGACGCCAAAGCGGCACCACGACAACGCTAACGGACACCAAGGCGACACCAAGCCGACACCACGGCGACCCCAACGGACACCAATCGACACCAATGCGTTGAGGAGTTCCTCGAACGAGGGTCCCAACAACAGACAGCGAAGGTCTCAGGGTTGGGTTTCTCGTGGAAGGTTTCTTGCGGATTGGCGCAATGGCTCGGCCGAGCCGTCCCGAAGAGGGTCGGTGGAAGCACCGTGGGGCCATCTGCTGGACTCGAAGAAGAAAGAACGCTATAAACATAAACTTTTTGACGCTCCGCGCGCATTTCCTGGATCTGCGCCGGACCCCCCTCCCTGGCGCGCGGAGCGCGCCAGGGGCAGCGCCGGAGGCGCCGCCGAGGGGGCCCAGCGCGGATCCACTAAATCCGTGCGGAGCGCCACAAGTTTATGTTTATGGTGTTATTTCTTCTTCTATGGACGACTCTTGAGGCCCTCCCGCGGCGCCCGCGTCTAGCTGCCGCCGCGCCGCGCGCGGCGCGAGGCCAGGCCGAGCAGCTGGGCGTGAAGGTCGGCTGGTACCTGAAGTCGATCGACGGCGCGCCCTACGGGACAGCGCCAGGGGCAGGGGTGTTCGGTGGCAGATCAGGGGGGCCTTGAGTACTCCCTCCTCCTCCTCCTCCTCCTCCTCCTCTTCCTCCTCCCTCCTCCTCTCCTCCTCCTCCTCCTCCTCCATGTACGTGCGGGCGCAAGGCGCGCGGCTGCTCTGCGAAGGACGGCTGTGGGACCTCCCTCTCCTCCCTCCTCCTCCTCCTCCTCCTCCTCCTCCTCCTCCTCCTCCTCCTCCTCCTCCTCCTCCTCCTTTCCTTCTCCTCGTCCTCCTCCTCTCGTCCTCCTCCTCCTCCTCCTCCTCCTGTTCCTCCTGCTCCTCCTCCTCCCTCCTCCCTCCCCCCCCTCCTCCTCCTCCTTTCCTTCTCCTCGTCTTCCTCCTCCTCCTCCTCCTCCTTCTCCTCCTCCTCCCTCTTCCCTCCTCCTCCTCCTCCTCCTCCTCCTTCTCCTCCTCCTCCGCGGTGCAATCCAAAAAAAATCCTCCTCCACGTCCGATGTTCTCCACATGCTGGCACTCGCATGCACGCCATGGCGTTCGCAGCGCACCGCGCCCCGGCGTGCCCCGCTCCGCCCAAGCTTTACCGTCATTCGGGCACATAAGGATCGCTATTCGGTATCGTTGAGTCGATCCCCATGCCCATCCCTATCCTTATCCAGACCCCCAGCATCCCTGCGCCCCAGTTGGGGACGCACTCCTCGAAGCCCGAAGGGAGCGGCCTATCTCCCCATCTAGGGGGATCAATCGGATATTGGGGCCCAGGCCACGTTCATGGGGATAGGGGTCGGTTAAACGATGCCCATCGGTGGCAAATCATGGGAGCCTTGTATACCCCCGTAGTTTTGTCTCTATCGTCGATTAGCGTCCATGAGCGTCCGGGAGACGATGAGATGGCGCCGATGTAGCGCCGATCAGCGTCGATTTCGCGTCGATTAGCGTCGACTTGGCGTCGACTGGCGTCGATTCGCAAGAGCCGACAAGACGGTATGGGAGGCTCCCATGAGCTGCCACCGAAGGGGGGGAGGAGGGAGAGAGGCTCCAGGGTCGAGGTTTTCGCACGCCTTCGTCTGGCCTCGGCGTTTTTTGTTCCTCCAGCCCTGGGAAGTGCTCTCCAGAGGCTGCGGTTGGCCGAGAGGCGTCCAGGAGGAGGAGGAGGAGGAGGAGGAGGAGGAGGAGGAGCAGGAGGAGGAGGAGAAGCAGGAGGAGGAGGAGCAGGAGCAGGAGGAGGAGGAGGAGGAGGAGGAGGAGGAGGAGGAGGGGAGGAGGAGCGGGAGGAGGAGGAGGTGGAGGAGGAGGAGGATGTACCCAGATCGTCCCAGATGTTGTGGCCCGAAAGCCCGACGAGGAGGACAGGTCCGCGCCTCCCAGACTGGGCCGGAGCAGATGGGCAAAGGGAGCCGCGTCGCCGATGCGTCGGCGATGCGGCCCGATGTGTGGAGCCCAGCTGTCCCCACGCCGATGGCTCCTGAGGTCGATCCACGGCGCTCACTGCGAGAGACGTCGGGGAGGGAGAAAAAGTGCACACACACACACACCGACTCTTGGAGCTCCGCGCGGAGTTCTTGGGTCGGCGACTGGGGCCCCCTTCGGGCGGCGCCTCCGGCGCAGCCCCCGACGCGCTCTGCGCGCCAGGCGTGGGGGGTCCAGCGCCAGTCCGAGACATGCGCGCGGACCGCAGCATGTTCTGTTCGCTGCAGAGGCTTCTGGCCTGTGCCGCCGCTCGGGCGCGCTCCAGGACGCTCCGTGCGAGCTCGTCTTGTGTCGTGGTCCGTGAGACTCCTCCTCGAGGAGGCAGGCGGGAGAACGAGGAGGGAGCAGGAGGAGGAGGAGGAGGAGGAAGAGGAGGAGGAGGGGAAGGAGGGTGTAGGCAGAGGCAGTATGCGCTGAATGGAATGTTTGCGTCGTGTCCATCTGGCGGGCTAGTTCCCGAACGGGTTGGCTCGTTGGTGGGTCGTCGGGTGGGTAGTAGCGTGAATATCTAATCGTATACCGTTCCTTTCCGTCATTTCTATCTTCTCTTATCGAAGACGCCTACGGCGAATCACCGCCGCCCCCTGCCTTTTTGGAAGCGCCTATGTGGCCGAACGTTGAGGCCAGACCTGCCAAGCTATCGGACCACGTGTTCCCCGAATCGGTTTGGAAAGCCTTCGGGGAACACGTGGGCATCTTGAAGGTCATCTTGGCCGTCTTGGAGGCCTCTTGGGCAAGCTTTGGGCGATCTTTGGGGCTTTTTGGGCCGTCTCGGGCCAGCTTCGAGCCAACTTCGGCCATCTTGGTGGGTTCCTGGCACGTCTGAAGCCGTCGGAAGCCGTTTGGGGGGCCTCTATGGGCCGACTTGGGGCCCGCTTGGAATGCTCCAGGGCCGTCTTGGAGGCCATCTTGGGCGTCTGGGAGGCCATCTTGGGCGTGTTGGAGGCCTCTTGGGCCCTCTTGGGGCCCTCTAGGGGCCATCTTGGAGGCCACTTGGGCCATCATGGGGCTCTCTTGGGGGCCTCTTGGGCGATCTTGGGGGCTTCTTGGGCCGTCTTGAGCCGTCGGAGAGCCGAAAAGGCGCAAATGCCAAAATCCTTCAAAAACCAAAGGAAAATCAATGATTTTGGCCTCTTCGGACTCTCCTGGAGGACCTCTTGGAGGCCTCTTGGGCCGTCTGGGAGGCCTCTGGGGGGCCTCTTGGGCCGTCTTGGGCCGTCTTGGACTCTCTTGGGCCGTTTTGGAGGCCGTCTTGGACCATCTCGGGCGGACTTGGAGGCCATCTTGGGCCATCTTCGCGATTTTTTGAGGATGTCCCGAGCGAAACGGCCGTTTTTGGGCATTGACAGATGGATTTTCGGGAATTTACGGGTGGCCGGCGGGACGGGCCGAAGCCCACTGGGGAGTTCTTTTAGAAAAAGAACCAAAACCAAAACCAGAAATATCCAGCACGCCGTGCACCCCTGCAAGCAGGGGGCGGCGGATTTAGTGGCCTTCGGCCCATCCCGCCAACGTGCCTGGGTTGTGGGTCCGAGGCCTCTGGAGGTCCGTTGGGACCTCGTGGGAAGCTTTTCGGGAGCCTATTGGAGCCAGTTGTGAAGCCTGGTTGGGGTTGTTCGGGAGCGTCTTTTCAAAATTGCCGGCCTCTTGGAAACCCTTTGTGGCCTCTTTGGGGCCTTTTGGGAGTCCCGTGGGGCCTCTCGGGGGCCTTGGGGCTTCTAGGGGGCCTCTTGGAGCGGAAGGCTCGAATCGTCGGTTCATGATCCTCCTCTTGGAGCCCTTCTCGGGCCGTCTTGGGCGCCTCTTGGGCCGTTTTCGGGCCCTCTTGAGCCGTCTCGGATCCCTTTTGGCGGCCTCTTGCGTTGTCTTGGCCTCCTGGTCCGTCGTGAGGCCATCTTCGGCGTGTAGGAGCACTTTTGGACCGTCTTGGCGGCCTTGGCGGCGTTGCCGCCCCCCTCCTTGCCCCGTTGACCGGCCAAGCCGTCCCCGCACCCTGATGCGGCCCCGGAAATGGCCCCCCCCCCCTTCACCGGCAGAGCCACCCTGGCACCCCCCCATCAGAGCTGAAGCTCAGGCTGCAGTTGTTCTAGACTCACACGCCGGACCTGCGGATTTGGATGACTTCTCTTACAGGGACGGGACGAAGAGGGGCTACAACTCTCCTCGAAATCAGACGCAAGTGTTAAATGCTTATCTACTCGCGAAGCGCGGCCAGCGGGGTCAAATCGTTTTGTGTTTGCAGCGGCCAATTGCGGCGCTAACATTGAGATGTTGGGGTCCTGGGGCGCCGCCACGTCGTTCAATGGGTGAAGAACGGTGTAAAATACGCTGTTTCCCTGTCGGGGGCGCCTGCCCCAGTGCGGCTGGAAAGTTTATACCGTCACAGTGGCACGTCAAGGTATAAACACTCCAGCCGCCCTGGGGCAGCCCCCCCCAGCGACGGGCAAGTTCATTGAATACCGTCCTTCGCCCGTTAAGTCGCGGGGAAAACCTGCCTTTGATTGCGAGGAGCGATGTGGGAAGAAGTTTTGCGCGATCGGCACGGGCCCCTCGGGGCCCCCTGGCGCGCCCCCCCCCCGGCAACGGAAAAGTTGATGTCATACCGCCCTTCGCCCGCTGAGTCGCGGGGGGAACTTGCGTTTGATTGCGAGGAGGGATGCGGGAAGGGGCTTTGCGAGATCGGCACGGGCCGCTCGGGGCCCCCGGGCCCCCCGGGCTTCCCCCCCTTCAGCGACGGAAAAGGTTATCGTACACCGCCCTTCGCCCGCTAAGTCGCGGGGAGAACTTGCGCTTGCTTTGGGAGGAGGGATGCGGGGAGGGGCTCTGCGAGATCGGCATGGGCCCCCCTGGGCCCCCCCGGGCCGCCCCCCCCCCCCCCCCCCCCCAGCGACGGAAAAATGGATATCCGACACCGCCCTTCGCCCGCTAAGTCGCGGGGAGAACTTGCCTTTGATTGCGAGGAGGGATGCGGGAAGGGGCTCTGCGAGATCGGCACGGGCCCCTCGGGGCCCCCCGCCCCCCCCCCCCCCCCCTCAGCGACGGAAAAGGTTATCCGACACCGCCCTTCGCCCGCTAAGTCACGGGGAAAACTTGCGTTTGATTGCGAGGAGGGGTGCGGGAAGGGGCTCCCCGGGCCGCCCCCCCCCCCTGCGACGGAAAAGGATATCTTAGACCGTCCTTCGCCCACAATGTCGCGGGAAGATTTTGAGTTTGATTGCGAGGGCGGATGCGGGAATGGGCTTTGCGAGATCGGCGTGGTCCCTTCGGGGCCCCCTGGGCCCCCCCCCCCAGCGACGGAAAAGGTTATCTTACACCGCCCTTCGCCCGCCAAGTCGCGGGGAGGACTCGCCTTTGCTTGCGGTGAGGGGTGTGGGAAGGGGCCCTGCGAGATCGGCATGGGCCCCTCGGGGCCCCCTGCCCCCCCCCCCCCCAGCGACGGAAAGGGCTATCTTATGCCGTCCTTCGCCCGCTCGGTCGCGGGGGGGTCTTGCCCTTGATTGCGGGGAGGGGTGCCTGCCCAGGAGTGTGCGGGTTCACCATCGGGGGCCCGTCGCCGGGCCATCGGCGATGTGTCGCCGATTGCAGGTCGATGTGTTCCCCCTGTGCCAGCCCCCCCCCCTATCGTTGCTCCTCAGCAGGCCACTTTGCCGCAGGCGTGGCTGTGTCCTCCTTGACGGCACGAGGTGCGCTGAGGGCCGCGGGAAGGGAGCGAGAGGAGGAGCTGCAGAGGAGGAACTGGCACGGTGGGGGCGCGCATGAAGAGTGCAGGTGCCTTCCGTCAGGGCACCTTGGGCCAATCTTCGCTGCGCGCGCTGCGCGGCGACTTCCCGCGGGCGTGAAGCAGAAGGTGCTGCAATCGGGGCGCTTTGGGATTCCTCCCAAATAGTTCCTCGCGCGCGTGTGTTTGAGGGTCGGGTTTCTTGCGAGGGTTTCTTGTGGCCGCACCTGCACCGTACCGATACCCCTTCCACTCGTTTTCGCTTTTTCGGGCCTCCTGGGAGGCCCTCGTCGACACGGCTGGATCCGACTCGACATTGTGGTCAGCAAGCACACCGAGAGAGGTCCGGTGAGTAGATGTATCATGATCCTTTGGACTCCCCAGAGTGATCGGTACTTGTTGGTTTGCCCAGTAGCAGTATTAGTATGGTTTGGTTTCTCTTTGGATGTGCGATGGCAAAGTAGTTGTATTTGAAGAGCTGGCACGCGAAATGGCTTACGCCCAGCTGACTGGTCAAGATGACTTGATATTGCTCATGATGTTGCGCTGCCTGCCGCTATCCAGCTGTACCTTGCTTGTTGGGTGACCAAGGGTCTGTTGCCAGGCTGACTTGCAAGTACGTGTGCGTCAATTCGCCACTGTTTGGTTTATCGGAAGAGATGGCTCGCCATTCGATGATCGCCGAATTTGGATTGCGGCACATTCCCGCTGTTCAGTCGTGGTGCTTCCTGCTTCTTGCCCCTGTCGCGGCTAAAGGATGGACGTGGTGCGCAACGCAATAGGCGGCAGCGCTCCCTACGTTGCCGCCTACCAGCCGTTCACCATCATCGGCCTTGAGGCACCGCCAGGACGGCGATGGGCGTTTTGGTAGTCTCTTAAGGGATGTAGCCGCGCGTCGAGACGTTGGTAATTTGCTGGATATCCCGTGGGCCACCACCCATCAAACTACCCAACCCAACCCGAAGGCCCAAATTTGCCCTCCATTCCCAGTGGGGGTGGCGTCGGGAAACATAAAAAAACAGATTACACCCGTACGCCGCCAAATCCGAAATTCTAGACGCTTCGCGTATCCCCACCAGTCTTAGTCTCTGCGTAGCCCGCTTGGATCTGACTCGCGCTGGCGCGCTCGCCCGCGGCCGCTGACTAAAAAGTATCCCCACCAGTCGCTGAATAATTAGGTTCCGCCCGTAGTCCGGGTCGACCCTTGACGCCGCTTGCGCCTTCGCTTGCGGCTGAAACGAAACATCCCCACCAGCCCATCCAGAAACGATGTCCAGGCGAGTTGAGGTGATCAGGAAAGTGCGGGAGCACAGATGTGGACGGCCGAACCGTGCGAAGGAGGGAGGAGGAGAAGGAGGAGGTTGGATGGATGGATGGATGAGGGAGTGGGGAGAAGAAAGGTGAACATGATGATGCTGATGATGATGCTGCTGATGATGATGCTGATGATGATGAGGAGGAGGAGGAGGAGAAGGAGGAAGAAGAGAAGGAATATGGAAGGAGGAGCAGGAGGAGGAGGGCGAGCAAAAGGGCCAGAGGTCTCTGAGATGCCCCTCGGAGTCTCTTGGGATATCGCTTGGGCGCTTCTTGGTGGCCTCTTGGGACGTCTTGGGGGTCTCTTGCCGGTCCTGGGGGGCTCTTGGGCGTCTTGGGTACCTCGGGGGGGCCTCTTGGAGCGTCTGGGGGGTATCTTGGATACCTCGGGGATCCCCTTGAAGCCTTTTCGTGGCCCCTTGGGGGGGGTTCTCTTGGGAGCCTCTTGGGAGCCTTTTCGGGCGCTCTTGGGGCCATCTCGGAGGAGATCGATCAAAGAAGAGGGGAGCTTTAATCAGCCTCCCCCCAGAAGAGGCCACAATGGGGCCAACACCCTACGTAGTAAGACCAATGATTTTGGCATCCTCGCCGAGGCCATTTTGGACGCTCCAACGCGTCGCTGCCCCCCCCGTCCAGGTCCAGGGGAAGGGGTCAAGGCACCCTCTCCGCACGCAAGCCGTCTAGCTCACGCCCACCCGCCCTCCCACCACATAAGTGGCATCCGAGTCTCGACATAGCCAGGGGTCGCCACTGCATGGACAGCCACTGGGAACTAAAGCGGACGCCAAGTGCGCGACGCTCGCCGCGGGTTCCACACGCGGTTGGTGCGCCATCCTTGTACAGAATGTGATGCCCCCCTGTCCGCATGGTCCAGATGCTGATGTGGGGGGCGTCAGCGTTGTTTTGGGCCTGCGCACAGCAAGCATCATCATGCGGGCACCACCGCCGCCCCGTTCAAAAAACAATACACAGTGATCGCGCGTGGCCAGCACAGTACCCACGACGTAGTCGCAACGTGCGTTTTGCATTTTTTGACACGGATGGTGGTCCTGCACAAAGTGGCTTCGCTAAGGGTGCCCCGCCATCAATGTGAAAAAACAATACAACGTGCTCACAGGGCGCCAGCGCACTGTCCAGATTTTGCTGCAATGTGCACTTCGTATTGTTTTTTGGAAAGGATTGTGGAGGGCGTTGGCAGGGTGGGCCCCGCAATGTGCATGTTGTGATGTTTTTTGACAGGGATGGCGGGGGGGATGCCCGCATCGTTCCGGGTTGGCTGCCGGCCAGGTGGGGGAGGGGGTGTTCATTAATAGGGAACAGCGATAATCCCCTCCCCGAAGGGGAAGAAAGGGGGTTGGAAGAGGAAGCTCCCTAGACCACCTACGCCCAAAGGGCTGGTGGGATTTGTGTTTTCGGGTTGGGTTGGGGTGGTCTGGTAGTTAGTTAGTGTGATCCTGTTTTTGCTGTCTCATCAGGAGGGCGACAATGGGGAGGGAGCACGCGTTGGGGGACATCAGCCCCTCGACAGGCTCGTGTCGTGTCGACGCGGCGGCGACCCCAGCGCGAGCGTTTGACCGCCGCCAGTGGCCCAGAATCGACCGACATCGAACGATCTGCGCTATCGGAAAGCAGTGGTCGTTCAGTCTGACCTACCCGTACGATGTGTCAGAAACCAATGCGCAAGTCGTCGCGGCACAATCTTGTCGCAGGTGGATCTGGGCCATGCCAGAATGGGCAGCACGTATACTACCTCATGTTTGATCTGGTTGGTGGGCCCTTCCTCTTCAAGGCGAGGGAGGATCGGCGGCAGCAGGTTCATGATGAGGAGCAGCGTGCGCGCAATAGTCGGCCCGATGCGCAGAAGCCACCCCAGACCCGCAAGATGGTTGCAATCAAAAGGGTCTAGGTCTAGGGGAACAAAAAGTGGCACAAACACAAAAACTCGGAGGTCCGCGCGGACTGCTGGGATCGGCGCTGGACCACCCCTTGGCGCGAGCTCCGCGCCAGTGGCCGCGCCGGAGGCGCCGCCAGGGGAGCCCAGCGCGGATCCGAGGAATCCGCTCCGAGTTTTTATGTTCATGTCATTCTTCGTTCCCCTGAGGTGTGCAGGAGCAACGACTCCACTGGACCGGCCTCCACTGTATGCAGATGCAGGAGCAACGACTCCAGAAGGGAGGGTTGGGTTTCTTGTGGAGGGTTGGGTTTCTTGTGGAGGGCGTCCTGTGGACCGGCCTCCAGTGTATGCAGGAGCAACGACTCCAGAAGGGAGGGCTGGGTTTCTTCTGGAGGGCTGGGTTTCTTGTGGAGGGGTTTCTGTGGACCGGCCTCCACTGCATTCAGGAGGGGAAAAACACACAGACACAATTAATCGTCGGTTCCCTAGAACATATGGGAAGAGATGGGAAGTGTGGGGGGGGAAGACAGACACCCAGAAAATATGGGAGAAGATGGGGAATCCTGTATTTGTGTGTATTTATGTGTGTGTCCTTGGGCCCCTTGGTGTATGCAGGAGCAACGACTCCAGAAGGGAGGGTCGAATCCCTGGGCGTGCCGGGCGCTCGCCGCGTCGACGCGGCGGCGACGCATACGCGCGGGCGTTCAGGGCCGGAGGCCACCGGCGGCCTCGGCGGCGCCCATCCGTTCGAGACTGCTCGACTAGACGTAAGAGTGACCTTTCGCCGGAGTGACCTTTGGTGCGGGCACGGATGGGTACCCAGATGGCTGAAAACGAAGCAGTAGCAGCTGCTTGCGCAGCCAGGTTTGGCCCCCCGCTGCCCCCAAAAAGTCGCGCACCAAAGGTCACTCTTACCCAGGGTCACTCTTGCGTATAGCCGAACTGCACGTCCTGAGCTGTCGGACAGCCTGCAGTCGGCGGCGAGCGAGGGGGGGGAAGTGAGGAGGAGTGCTCCAAGCCTCCCTTCTGGAGTCCTTGCTCCTGCATGCAGGGGAGGCGAGTCCACAGGAAACCCTCCACAGGAAGCCCAACCCTCCACAAGAAACCCAACCCTCCCTTCTGGGGTCGTTGCCCCTGCATACAGTGGAGGCCCGTCCAGTGGAGTCGTTGCTCCTGCATACCTTAGGGGAACGAAGAATGACATAAACATAAAAACTCGGAGGCCCGCGCGGATTTCTCGGATCGGCGCTGAGCCCGCCTGGCGGCGCCTCCGGCGCGGCCACTGGCGCGCTCCGCGCGCCAGGGAGGGTGGTCCAGCGCCGATCAGAGCAATCCGCACGGACCGAGTTTTGTTGGTTTGTTCCCCTACAAGTGAGAAGGAGAAGGCCTTCTCAGAAGGCGGCGGGACTTCTCAGAAGCCCACGCGCCTCCTGAGAAGTTTGCTGTCTTCTGGAAGGATTCGGAAACTTCTAAGAAGGCAGGGGGACTTCCGAGCCTTCGGGGAGGGCCCGCCCCTTCTCACTTCCCCCCCCGCCGACTAAAATACAGTCAACCCGCATAGCAAGGATGAGCAACTTTCCCAGGTTGCCCTTGCATCCTTGCCCCTTCGGCCCATCCGTGGCCGCTTTCGCTGGCCGCGCCCCGCCCGCAGAGTGTCGACATGGCCTTCCAGGGCCCTTGCATCCTGACCGTGCGTCCCTACGGGGCTGGACCTAGACGCTGTGTTGCTGGACTTCGGCTGTGCTTCGTTCTTCGTTTCGGGAGGGAGGTCCAGGAAAACAGTTTTTTTTTATCCGCGGGTCGAGAGCGAGCCTCTTCCGGTCGAAGCTAAGCTGGCCGCGCACAGCTTTAATTGACAGAGGGGGGAAGGCAGAAGGAAGGGCCTCACGTCAAGGCCAAGGGAGGGCAAAGCCCCGGAATCAGGCGGTGCCGAAGGCGAAGTGCATGCAAAGGAACGCCTTGTACAGGAACCCGGTGGCGAAAGAGGTCCAGGAAAACAGGTAGAGCAAAACGAAAAACGAAACGAAACGCAAGGAATAGCGACGTTCGGGTCCAGCCCTGCGCCCGTACTGCACGGGGTGGCCGTGGGTCACCCGCGGTTGCGGTGAGATCACCGCGCCTCGCGCGCCGCGGCCTGGGCCGCGGAGGCCTGGCCTTCGCCGGGGCGGCGGCGCGTGGGCGCGCACAGGACCGCGCACCGGCGCCCGCTGGCCTGCCGATTCTGGCCGAGGCGACTCTTCCCGACGCGGCCACCGATTCCTGCCGATCCGATTCGTTTCGATCGCCGATCCGACCTGTCGATTCGATTCTGGGCTGTCCTGGCGCACGGGGCACTGCTGGTCGCGGATAAAAGAGCGAGGTGGCCTATGATGGCAGAGATCGTCGGAAGAGGAAGAGGTACCCATACGATCGGACCGAGGTATAAGATCGAGCTCGGTTCGGGGAGGGTGCCCTTAGGTCCGTAATGTAGTGTTGGATGCTCTCTTGCATCCTGGGGGAGGGTACCCGTTTTTCCCCTCTTCGGCCTCCTGGGAGGCCCTCGTCGCCACCGGATTCGCTGCGAAATTCAGGTCAAAACGCACCCAGGAAGAGGTTTGGGGAGTAGCGGTATCGGTACCCTCTGGTTTCCCCAGATCGATCACGATTGGACGATTTTGCGCGGTGTCAGAAGCTTTAGTCACCACCTGGTGCGCGGGAGATGATCGCGCGTCTTTTCATGCCAGTCTGTCGGGTGTTTTTGGCATTGTCGTTGTGCCTCATGTCGTTGCGCTTCGCGACGCATGATATGCTAGGCCGCGGGCCCCATCGCAAGGCACATTGCATTGACCTCCCGCACCCTTCTTTATTGCAGCATACCACGTCTGTCTCCTTAATCCTCTACCTCCACTTCTGCAACCTCTCCCACCATTGCAACTGCCTCAGTGATCCCACTGCACCGCCCTGCCCTGGGGAGGAAAACCAACAAAACACCTTGTAGCTTGTCATTGAACATGTACAGTTGTGGAGGGCCGCGGCGTAGCAGGACCTAAGTGCGCGCGAAGCGCGCATGTTTCTAGTAGTCTATCGTTTTATATATCCAACTGCCTGCGGTCAGTCCCGCCACTTGGCCAGCGCAGCACTCTGGGTGGCGACTGTTCGATGGGGCACGGGAGGCCGTCATGTGTGACAGCTCGTGTCTTCAGGCATTGGAGAGCCGTGATGATGATGATGATGATGATGATGATGATGATGATGATGATGATGATGATGATAATGATGACTATGGTGATTATGGTGATTATGGTGATGATGATGGCGATGATGATGACGATACCGATGCTGATGATAGTGATTATGATCATGATCATGATGATGATGATGATCAAGATGATCTGGATGCTCAGAATGATCATGACGATTGTGGTGATCATAATGATGATGAACATAATGGTGATGCTGATGATGATAATGCTGATGCGGATGCAGATGATCATGATGGTGCTGTTGGTGCTGCTGTTGATGATGATGATGTTGATCAGGATGATGATTATGATGCGAGTGATGGTGGTGATTTGTCTGTGATGATCATGCATGATGCTGATGCTGGAGCTGATGGTCTGTGGTCATGTCTGATGATGATGCTGGCGATGCTGCTGATGACGATGGTCATGAGCATGATCATGATGACGCTGATGCATCATGCCATGGTCATGATGGCGATGATGCTGCTGATGATGATGACGAGGAATCTGACGATGATGCTGATGAGGATGCTGATGATGATGGCGATGATGCTGATGATGCTGATGCTGTTGATGTTGCTCATGATGATGATGATGATGATGATGATGATGATGATGATGATGATGATGATGATGATGGTGATGGTGATGATGATGACGATGATGATGATGATGATGATGGTGGTGGTGGTGGTGATGATGGTGGTGGTGGTGGTGAGGAGGAGGAGGAGGAGGAGGGTGGTGGTGGTTGTGGTGGGAGGGGAGGAGGAGCTGGAGAAGGAGGAGGAGGAGGAGGACGAGGGAGAAGATATGGATGAGGATGAGGTTGATGAGGACGATGTGAGGGATGAGGAGGAGAATCAGGAGGAGGAGCAGGAGCAGGAGCAGGAGGAAGAGGCGGAAGAGGAAGACCGTCACATTTGACACAGTTCGCCCTCGCTAGTAGCGGAGCCCTCATGGAACTCGCGTCCTGGCCCCCTTGTGGGGCAGTCTTCAGGGCACTTGGGGGCCCTCTTGGGCCGTTTCGGGGCCCTCGTAGGCTCAAGTCGGGCCTGTCCCTCAACAGGAGGAATATCCAAAAATAGTCCAAACCTTTTCTGGGGACGATCTGTTTTTAAGTACCCTGTGCATATGTTTGAATATTTATTGACGACTAGTTCTTTATTTTCGCCCAAGGTCCCCCCTGTAGGGGGACATACCCGACCTGATCATAGGCCGTCTCGGGGTTCTTTCATCGCCCCCGCGACTCATGCCTGAACCCCCAAAAACCCGACGGATGTTCTGTTTCCTGGCATCGCTCGGACGTGTGCATTTTTTCTCGGCGAGGACCATCGAGGAGCATCCTTGATCCTTTGGCGAAAAAGCCGCGCACAAAACCAAAAAACACAGGGAATGGACGTCCGAGCGATGGCCAGGTTTCTTCCTTCCCCGGGGGGTCCACCTCCGCGCGCGGCGACCCGTCAAGCCCGGGGCCCCTGGCGTCGGATGGATGTCTGTTCTTTCTTCCGCGTACGGTTGGTACAAACATGTGCTAGCGCGGTGCTGCTCCTAGAGTCGGGGGCGGAAAAGAGGGGGGTGATGACTAGGGGGGGGGTGGATATCATGGCGGGGGCCATGATATTTCCCCAGATTTCATGGCGCCTCTTCTTATTCCATTACGTCCCTGGGGCCCCCGGTAGGCCGCGCACATGCCGCCGACCATGATTTGCACCCCCCCTCTTGGACACCCACCTCTTGGCCGCTCCCGAAAACATGTGCTAGCGCGGCGTTGCTCCTAGAGTGCACCTGGTCCTGCAGTACCACTATTATTCTCGAATTGCGATTGAGGCATTCGAGGGAACAGTATAGGGTCGTGATTTGGGGAATAAGGAAGCACTATGGGATCGCGGCTTGGGAGTACGGAAGCAGAAACGAATCGCGATTGAAGATACGGAAGCAGTACCAAATGTCGGTTCCGGAAATATGGCGCAGAGTAGCGTGCAGGTACTATTTGCACAGTTCCAGAGTACAATCACCACTAGATCGATTATGCCTTACGTTCAGAATCTGTGCTCTCGCGCCTTTGCTCTGGGCTGCGCTGGGGGGCTGGGGGTGGGGCCCCGCGCGCCAGCGCCCCCGCGGCTGAGAGTTCAGCCCCCCTCCGGACTCCTGGGCAGGGGCAGCCCCCGTGCCCGAACCCCTCGCCGAGGAGTCTGCTCTCCCGTGGAAGCCTTAGGTCGGGCCTGTCCCCCTACAGGGGGATTTTCGACGAAAAATTAAAAAAACAAAAATAGTCCAAAATTGCCTGGGGACTATTTTGTGAGTATTTTTTTTACCTTTTTGAAGCATTTTTGGAGTATTCTTACTTTGTCGTCGAAAGTCCCCCTGCAGGGGGGACAGGCCCGACATGATGGAAGCCGGACCCCCTGGGCGCCTCGGCGCGCCCCCGGCAGGCGTCCCTTTGGCCCGGGCGGTGCTCCCGTAGGCCAGGAGGCGCCATCCTGCAGCCGGGTGGGAGGCACCGTGGCCTCGGAAGCGCGCGCGCTTGCCGCGTTTGAGATTGGGGGCGCGAGGAGGAGGAGGAGGAGGAGGAGGAGGAGGAGGAGGAGGAGGAGGAGGAGGAGGAGTCAGGAGGAGTCAGGAGAGTCAGGAGGAGAGGAGGAGGAGGACGAGGAGGACGAGGAGGAGGAGCCAGACCTCCTTCCGCTCCTCGTCCTCCTCCTCTCCTCCTCCTCCTCCTCCTCCTCCTCCTCTCCTCCTCCTCCTCCTCCTCCTCCTCCTCCTCCTCCTCCTCCTCCTCCTCCTCCTCCTCCTCCTCCTCCTCCTCCTCCTCCTCCTCCTCCTCCTCTTCCTCCTTTGCAAAGGATGATTGCCTCGGGAGAGGGGGCGATGCATCCGGGCCAGCGCCAGTAGAAGACGAGGGGGGGCTAGAAGATGCCAGAATCCCTGCCAGATAGCTCTTGTCAGGGGGCACGGTGGCGGATGACAGGAAGCGCTCTGGCGTGGACTGTTTTCTGAAGTCGCATTTTTTGTGGAAGCAAAGGATGCGAATCGCGGATTTCTGAACCATCGCCGTTCTGTTTGAGACATCCTCGAAAAATCGGCCCCCGGAGGGGCTCCGAAGCAGCATCATCTTGGAATCGCTCCCGAAGGGTTTTCGAAACTACATAGAAGAGAGCTCCAAAAGACCCCCGAGAAGACACAAAGGGCCCTGACAGGCTCCCAAGAGCGCCCCAAGAGGCTCCCAGACGGCTCAAGACAGTCCAAGATGGCGCCAAGACGACCTCCGTGGCCATTTTGGGCTCAAGGGGGGACCTCCGAGTTCACAGCGTGTGGTCAGTGTGGTTGCCAGCCTACGAGCCAACACCCAACGAACCATGCTCACCCCGCGCGCGATGCTTCAAGAAATTGAGGCGCCTCTCGCCGAGCAGAAGAAGGGTAAGGCGGTGTGCCCCGACTCGTACGTGCTCAGCTCGGCCCCCACGCGATGCCCAACGGCAGAGCTGCCCACCTTCGACGACGAGCCGGCGCTCCCCGAGGCGGCGCCCTGCGAGGCGGTGCCCATCAGAGGCCGGCGTTCCCGGGCGGGGCCTGCAGCGCCAGTGCCGAAGCTGGTCCCGCTCAGGCGCCTGCGGTCTGCGGCGTACTGGGCGCAGAAGGTCAGTGTCGTTTCGCCGAGCCATCCCCATCCCCACGCACACCTCGAGCCCCGCCGCCTCACCGCCTCCGTTGGGGGATATGCCCCTCGAAGCCCGGAGAGAGAGCAGCCTGTATCCCCTATCAGGGGGGTGCATCGGCCAGTGGGGCCAGCCCACGCTGGTGGGGATCGAGCGTCTTGACAGCCACTTGGGCTGTCAGGAGGCCACCTTTGGCGTCGCTGACCGATTGTTCGACGATTTGGGACCCTCTTGGACCATGTCGGGGGCCTCTTGGGCTGTCTTGGGGCATCCTTGGGCTCCAGGACCCCCCCGGAGAGGATGGTACTCTGACTTAAGATTTCCCCTGTGACCCTCGCCCAGGACCAAACCCAAGACCCCCCTTGGGGTAAGTCGGCCAGTTCTAGGCCTCCTCGATGGGGTCCGAGTATATGGGGTCGGAGGATCGCAGCGCATTGGCGATACATCGGCGATGCGGCTCGATGCGGAGCCCGCTTTCCTCCACGCAGACGGCGCCGATGCATTGCCGACGTCGCCAGTGCATCGCCGATGCATCGCCGATACATCGGCGATGCATTGGCGACGCGGCGCGATCCTTCGACCCCATCTACTCGGACCCCATCTAGGAGGTCTCCACCATCTGGACGCCCGACATGGGTACCGAAAGAATGGGTACAATGCCCAACAGCAGTTCCTGTTCACTCTGAACAGGACTCGCTGTCCGCGCCGCCGCGGCCTGTGTCCACTCGAGACAGAAGGCCGCCTGCCCAACAGCGGCCGCTGTTGGCTTGGGACAACATTTGCTGGTGGGCATCGTACCCATCTTTTCGATACCCATGTCGGGAGGTCTCCACCAGTGTCGGGTCGGGCGAAAGGGGGTATAGCAAAGGGGGGGTTTGAGAATCAGCTCACGTAGCTGATTTTCCCGGCGCCTCCCGGCGCCGGAGGCGCCTATGTATCGAGGAATGGGCCCCTCGGTGGGGCCGAAACCAGCTGCATGCAGCAAATTTCGTAACCCCCCCTTTCCCGATCCCCCCCTTTCGCCCGGCCCGACAGTGGGGATCGGTCCAGCCGTGCCCCGAAGGCCGCCGCCGCCGCCCAGCGGCCGGCGGGCTCGCCCTGGGAGCGGGGCGTGCGGCCGCGCCGCCCGTGCCTCGGCCTCGGGCCCGCGGCGGCCCCGCGGCCGGCAGCCGCGGGCGCCGGAGGTCAGAGCCCCGAATCATCGGGGAAAATACTCCTCCTCCTCCTCCTCCTCCTCCTCCCCCCCTCCTCCTCCTCCTCCTCCTCCTCCTCCTCCTCCTCCTCCTCCTCCTCCTCCTCCTCCTCCTCCTCCTCCTCCTCCTCCTCCTCTCCTCCTCCCAGGGTATACTCAGAGCGTGAAATGCCTACCCCGCGTTCGCTTCCAGGCAAAACCAGGTCATACCACGCGCCTCCTCGTCGAGCGGCCTGACCAGTGCAGGCTGCAATCTGGCATCGTCTGGTATCTCTTGGGAGCGAGGGTGGTCAGAAGCGAGGTAGGTCTGTTTTCCCCCTATATACCTCGGGTCGGGGCTAACTCGGGTTCGTTTTTCGGGATTCTGGACCCGACTTACCCGGGACCCGACTTGCCCCGGATAGTTCGGGCGTCCAGAGCCCCGAATCATCAGGGGTAACTCGGGTCAGGGCTAACTCGGGTTGGTTTTTCGGGAATCCGAACCCGACTTACCCCAGACCCGACTTACCCCGGATAATTCGGGCGTCCAGAGCCCCGAATCATCCGGGGTAACTCGGGTCAGGGCTAACTCGGGTTGGTTTTTCGGGAATCCGAACCCGACTTCCCCCCGAACCCGAGTTACCCCGATTAACTCGGGCGCCCAAGGAGGCGGCGGCCCAGCCGCGCCAGCGGCGGCAGGAGCCGCCGAGGGCGAAGGTCGCAGGAGAAGACCTGGCATTTTTTTTGGGGGGTGTAGAGGGCAAAGGGTGACAAATCTGAAGTGCCGTTTCGATGGATGTTCGAGGTTCGAGTCTGCAAAAGGGTGAGTCACAGGGCGGATGGACTTTCGAGGTGCGAAAGCCCATATGGATTTCACCCTGAGCACTCCACCCTAAGAAAATGCTCAGGAAAAAACGGCATCAACGTAAGTCGGTCATGTCCATCTACAGAAGATCTAGTCAAACATAGTCAACGAATAGTCTGGAGACGAAGCATGTTTGGACTATTGCTTATTTTTCATCCAAAATCCGCCTGTAGGGGACATGCCCTACCTAAGCATAAACATGAACTGTTGGCGCTCCGCGCGAAGTTCTTGGATCCGCGGTGAGGCCCCCCGACCGGCGCCTCCGGCGCCGCCCCTGGCGCGCTCCGCGTGCCAGGGAGGGGGGTCCAGCGCAGATCCAAGAAGTCCGCGCGGAGCGTCAAAAGTTTACGTTTCTGCCGTTTTTGAAGGGGAACTGGGACACACAAATAAATACACACAAATAAAAAGATTCCCCATATTTTCCCATATCTTCTGGGTTTTTGTCTTCCCCCCCACTTCCCATATTTTCTGGGGAATCGCCGATTAATGGTGCCTGTGTGTTTCTTTCCCTCCTGAGCTTTGTCGTCTTCTAGAAGGCGCCCAGGGCAGCCCCAAGGGCTGGGCGGGCGCCGTCTCGAGGAGGCTGTGCCGCGGGGCGCTCGCGTCGGTTGCGCCGCCGGCCCCGCCGCCGGCTGCACCGCCAGGGTCGCCCTCCGGTGCCGCTCCGAGGTCGCGTGGCCGGTCGTACCACCCGGCGGCCAGGACCAGTCGGTCAGATGCAGGCAGTCGGGAGTGAATGTCAGTCGGGGGCAGCCAAGAGGGGGGGATGACTGGGGGGGGAAGGGACATCATGACGTGGGCCATGATAGTTCCCCAGATTTCATGGCGCCTCTTCTTACTTCATTACGTCCCTGACCCCCCCCCCTGGGCCGTGCACATGCCGCCCGCCATGATTTGCGCCCCCCCCCCCCCCCCTGTCATGGACGCGACCCTCTTGGCCGCCCCCGAACTTCAGGAGTGCCAGTGCAACCGCTTGCTGATCCAACACCTGCTGACACTCAGTGCCGCGCTGTCCAGCGCCCAGCAGCGCCCAGGGCAGGCCAGGCACCCGTTCAGTGCTTTGCACTTGAGCGATTGCAGGCCAAGTGGCGCCTTATCCCGCATGTTCTCAGAGTGAGAGGCCGAACGGTCTTACACTGAGTGCGTGGCTTCAAAGCTTCGCAGACTGCCGACGATCCCACCGTTCCCTCACTCTGATCGGCATCTGCTGGGAGCTACAAGAAACATTTGAAAAGGAACGCTGGCGGTTGTCGATGCAGAGTCAGCATCCAGAGCTTTTGGAATGGGTTCACGCCCACCGAGATTCCTGCTGCTCGACGCCAGGCCAGGAAGTGCTGCGCCCGCGGCAGTGCCTCTTCGCTGGAGCCTCATGCCACGCGTCATCACTACAGATGTGGCCGGGCACGTGGGGGGAGGCGAGGAGTACCATGAGTTTGCCTTCAGTCACCTCTCGGCGCTGCGTGTTGGGGATCTTTTTGGCCGTTCGGGCCGCGGGGGATATCCTTGTGCATGCAGAGCAACGGCATTTCGTTTTTTTGCCCAGGCCACGGTTCATAGCATGAGTTTGCTTATTGCAGTTCGGCTTGTGCGGTGTTCCCGGCTTGCCTAGCGACGTCTTGAGTCGCGATGTAGTAGGGCCACCAGTCATATTTTGGAAGGGGAAAACATGAGTTTGCCTGCGGATGCCACGGTGGAGCTCTGCAGGTGGTTCGGCATTTCTACCTCCCCGATGCCTCTTGCCTTCCTCGCAAGTCGGCGCGCTGCATTCAATGTCGCTCACCCGACGCCTCACCCGACGCCTCAACGAAGACACTCTTCTTGAGGTTGTCGATGCAGAGTCAGCCTCTGCGCCATTAGGAGTGGGCTCATGCCCATCCTCATTTCTGTTGCTCGACGCCAGGCATGGACATGCTGCGCCCGCGCCAGTGCCTCTCCATCGAAGTTTTTTGCCTCGCGTCATTATCATCAAAAATGTGACCGGGCACGCGTATGGCTTCAGATGCGAGTGTGCGCCGTTGGCACCCGCTTCCGCTTCGCCGTTTCCTCATCCGCACAGTCATCGAGGTGCCATCCGCCGGTCTCACTCGCCTCTGTGGCCGCAGTGGGGCATAGGTCGGTGCCATGCCGCTGTCGACAATTCGGATCTTGGCACAACCGGGAGCATCACCCTGTCGCGCCTTTCTTGTCTTACAGTCAGGTGAATATTGCTGGTAGTGACCTGTTTTTGATCGCATAATAACACATCGGAAGGGCACGCGCACAAGCAGGCGCGCCGCGCACGCGCAAGCGCGCGCGCTCAGAATCTGGCTCGGTCTCTGAGTCGGGGCTGGGCTCGGGCTTGGTCTCAAGCTCGTGCTCGGGCTCAGGTTGTAGTGGTCCTGTGGGTTGCCCCGTGACTGTACCGTGGGTTGTCCCGTGGGTTGTTCTGTGGTTGTCCTGTGGATTGTCCCCTAGGCTGTCCAGCGGGTATCCAATGGTTCCACACGCGTTTACAAAGGCGAATGATTATACACATAACGGCGCATCGGGCTCGGGGACCGAGGGCCGGAACCTCGACCACAATGTGGGGACCGGGGCCCGGGCCCTCCTCTGGGAGGCTTAAAATCGCCCCGGGGGGCCCTCAGACAGCAATCCCGGCGGCCCCAGACGGTCTCGAGACACCCCCAAGACGCCGTCCAGGGGTCTTTGGCGACGCACGATGCGTTTTAAACTGCGCCGAAGGCCCCCAAGACGTCCAAAGAGGCTTTTAAGATGCCGCCCAAGAGCGCCCCGAGGAAGCAGCATCGTTGGTTTTTGTTTCATTGGTTTTTGTTTCAATGTTTTTGCATTCTCGCTGTTTCGTGTTTCCGGCGCCAAAGCACCGCCCAAGAGGCTCCCAAAACCGCTCCAGGACGGCCCAAGAGGGCCCCAAGACAGCCCCAGAGAGCCCCGAGACGGCCCCAGAGCCGAAAAAGACGGCGCAAGAGGATCCCAAGAAGGCCTCAAGAGGGGCCCAAGAGAGGGAATGCGAACTGAAAAATCAAGCTCTCCGCCCCAAGATGCCCCCAAGAGGCCCCAAGAGGCCCCAAGATGCCCCCAAGAGGCCCCCAAGAGGCCCCCTAGAGGCCCCCAAGAGACCCCCAAGAAGCCCACAAGAGGCTCCAAGAGGCCCCAGGACGGCACCCAACTCTTTCTGAGAGGCCCCCGAAGACATGCCAAGAAGGTCCCATGACGACTTCGAGAAGCAGCCCAGGATGCTCCGAGGAGGCCCCAAGAAGCTAGCTAGAACTTGAGCGCGCGCGAAGCGCGCGCAATGGTCCTAGCTAGTGTGTGTGTGTGTGTGTGTGCGTGTGCGTGTGCGTGTGCGTGTGCGTGTGCGTGTGCGTGTGCGTTGTGCGTTGTGCGTTGTGCGTTGTGCGTTGTGCGTTGTGCGTTGTGCGTTGTGCGTTGTGCGTTGTGCGTTGTGCGTTGTGCGTTGTGCGTTGTGCGTTGTGCGTTGTGCGTGTGCGTGTGCGTGTGCGTGTGCGTGTGCGTGTGCGTGTGCGTGTGCGTGTGCGTGTGTGCGCGTGCGCGCGCGTGCGCGTGCGTGTGCGTGTGCGTGCGTGTGTGTGTGTGTGCGTGTGCGTGTGCGTGTGCGTGTGCGTGTGCGTGCGTGCGTGTGCGTGTACGCGTACGTCTGCGTCTGCGTCTGCGTCTGCGTTTCTGCGTCTCTGCGTCTCTGCGTCTCTGTGTCTCTGTGTCTCTGTGTCTCTGTGTCTCTGTGTCTCTGTGTCTCTGTGTCACTGTGCCTCTGTGCCTCTGTGCCTCTGTGTCTCTGTGTCTCAGTGTCTCTGTGCCTCTGTGTCTCAGTGTCTCTGTGTCTCTGTGTCTCTGTGTCTCTGTGTCTCTGTGTCTCTGTGTCTCTGTGTCTCTGTGTCTCTGTGTCTCTGTGTCTCTGTGCCTCTGTGCCTCTGTGTCTCTGTGTCTCTGTGTCTCTGTGTCTCTGTGTCTCTGTGTCTCTGTGTCTCTGTGTCTCCGTGTCTCTGTGTCTCTGTGTCTCTGTGTCTCTGTGTCTCTGTGTCTGTGTGTCTGTGTGTCTGTCTGTCTGTCTGTCTGTCTGTCTGTGTGCGTGCGTGCGTGCGTGCGTGCGTGTGTGTGTGTGTATTGGTGGACGCATGCGCACGCAAAACCACGCGTTGAATTGCCTGTACGCGTGTTATTCATGTTGGCACCCGCGAGGCTATAACAAATATCTACCCGGGACGGTGGCCAGACAAAAAGGGTCGACACCAACGGAACGGATACCATCATTTGATGTCGGATAACATCTTGCATGGCGTGTTTCCCAACCCCCTCCCCCCCGAGCCCAAAGTTGAAGTGACCACAGTTTGCCCTTCGCGCATTGCCTCGCGCGCACCGCTGTCAACTGTGGGTTTGGGGGGTGCTATAGATCTGTTGGATGCACTTCGCCGCAGCGTTGTCTTGGCGCGATGGGCGTGGACACATATTGTTCACATACAGTCGGGGCCCTGAAGAAGGAACCCTTTTCGTTGGGGAGCGGCTCCGCGTTCCTTAAGTGTTTCACAGCTTGCCTCAGGTTTTCCTTAGGCGTTCGGAGGGAAATCGACGTTCAACTTCTGGAGAAAAGGGGCCTCGTTCCCTGTTTAGGGTTCCTTAGGTCAGCGCCCCGACTGTGCCGTGCTTGCCAGACCTGGTCGCTTGGTTCTGAAGCCGGTGCACGCTGCTTCTACGGTGCACGTCGTCCCGCACGGGGCGCGCAGCGTGGACGTTCGCGCGACTCGTTGAAACTTGCGTTGGTGCTCGCACACTAACTCGCGACCGAAGAAAACAGGCTTGGGGATAGTGCTCGTAAGTTGTTGCCGAAAAAGAGATCGAAGGTATATGGTTCTTCGCAAATGCGGCGAGTAATGTACGGGCGATGCTGCAAGTTTTACCAGGCACGATCAGAGACCCGCAAGTGGCCCACGCCCCAGCCACGAACCCACCTACAGTCCGTCAAATATTTCACTAGGAAGATATTCACCTGACTGCAAGTGGCGCGCTTCTTTCGTGCTTTGTGCTCGTTAACTCATGGTAACGTTATGCCTTGACGGCTCACGTAAGGATGTCGATACAGAGTCAGCCTCCACAGCATTGGGAGTGGGTTCATGCCCACCCAGATTCACTCGGCGGGGCAAGAGGTCAGGCATATGGCACCAGCTCCAGGATTTCCTAGATTTCCTAATGATCCACATGGGCTACAGAAGCGAAGGCCGCGAGACACTCCCTAGAAATCTTGAGAAGTATCCTGAGCCAATCCTATCATGACACTATTCCCGTCCTTTTCTTGCTGCTCGACGCCAGGCATGGATATGCTGCGCCCTCGGCAGTGCCTCTTCATTGGAGCCTCCTGCCACGCGTCATCATTACAGATATGACTTGGCACGTGGGGGGAGGCGAGGAGCACCATGAGTTTGCTTTCAGTCACCTCTCGGCGCTGCGTGTTGGAGATCTTTTTGGCCGTTCGGGCCGCGGGGGATATCCATATGCATGCAGAGCAACTGCATTTTCGATTTGTTGCCCAGGCCACGGTTCATAGCATGAGTTTGCTTATTGCAGGTCGGTTTGTGCGGTGTTCCTGGCTTGCCTAGCGACGTTTTGATGCACGATGTGGGAGGGTCATGATTGACGTCTTGCAAGGAAAAACATTTAGCCTGCCTTCGGGTGCCAGTGTGGGGCGCTGCAGGCGGTTCTGCATTTCTACCTCCCCGTTGCCTCGTGCCTTCGTCGTACGGAGGCACGCTGATTCAGTGTTGCTCACCGTCGCCTCAACAAACATGCACGAAACGTGACTCGCAGACGCGCGCTCCCAAATCGAGGGGTGGCTTTCACACTGGGAACAAGCGAGGATGCTGCCCGCTCGCGCACGCGGCGCGGGGCACGGGGTGCTCTCCCAGCTTGCCTGGCAGCTGCGCTTCGTCGGGTGGTCTGCTGCCGGTGTCCATTTCCCTGAATCAGCAGTAGCTCAAACCATCATCCTTTTCTCCTCTTCCCCACCACAAGCCCAGTGGGCAAAATCGGTGCTTCCCGTTGTTGTCCGAGCAGGTCTCCCAAGCAGCGTTTGACTCTGTGATCGTTTGTGTTATTCCTTGTTCTGCCGATCGGCGCGGGCCCCAACCCCCCCCTCCCCCCTCCCTCTGGAGTAGATCTTGGCTCTTTTGGGCGCCTGTGTCAGGCAGGCGGAGCCTCCCCTCCTAGGACGCACTGCTCCAGACGGCCGCACTCAGCAGAGGCCCGGAGCCAGACCCCCCCCCTCCCCCTCCTCTCCTTCCCGCCCCACGCCGACACGCCGCACGCGAAGACGCTCACTTCCGGACCTCTCGGGGCTCGCGGCTGCTCTGCGGGATGCCCGCCCCTGTTCACGACGCGAGGCGCCTTGCCCGTGGGCGCTCCGGTGGGCGCCCTCCGTGCCGGGAGCTTGGCATCGCTCGGACGTGTGCATTTTTCCTTCGGCGAGGGCCATCGAGGAGCATCCCTGATCATCTGGCGACAAAGCCACGCACGAAACTGCGAAAAACACGGGGAATGGACGCCCGAGCGATGGCCGGGGAGGGAGGGCGGTGCCGGTGCGCCGGTGCCCGCCCGTGGGCGCTCCGTGGGCGCCACGCGGTCGAGCAGTGGCGAAGCGGCCCGGCTTGCCTCAGTAGGCCCACCAGGGAGTGCTGGGTTGGGTCTTGGCATCGCTCGGACGTGTGAATTTTTCCCTCGGCGAGGACCATCGAGGAGCATCCTGTTATGATTTGGCGAAAGAGCCACGCACGAAACCGACAAAAGCACAGGGAATGGACGTCCGAGCGATGCCCAGTGGGTACGTCTCGCAGGATCATCATGTTTTTGCTCCTTGGTTTCCTGTGGGCCGGAGGGAACTTTACGTTGCAATTTCGAGGGGCCCCGCCTGTCCCCAAAATTGGTATCTTTTCGTTGTGCCTGGCGCGGGCTCGATGCGGCCTCAATGCGGATGGGCGGGCATTCGACGCGGAGTCGACACGGATTCGACACGGATCCGACGAGGCCGACATGGATTCGACACGGATTCGACGCGGATAGGGTCGCGACGGGACAGACGAGGTCCCCCTGAGGATGCAATGCAAGGAACTTGCTCCCACGGAGCGCGCACGGCCCTGGCTTACCAGAGAGGCTTCGCAGCGGATCGCATGCCCTTTCCTAGGAGTCGTTCGTTCTGGCTGGCCCCGTTGATGTTGCCACCGGTTGCAGTCGTTCGGCCCGGATTAGTAGGTCGGCCCTGCCAAATCAGGGGTACCTTTGTGTCCCGTGTCTCGCGGCCCGTGCTTCTTGCATCTCTCGGGCAACGTGGCCCTCGGAAGGGTCTTGTGTCCTCTCGCGTGCCCTCTCCAATCAAGTCCGACTGTAGGCCCACCAAAGAGTGCTCTGAGAGCCTTCTGTGGTCTGCACGAAACGTTCTTAGGACCTTCCTGGCCGAGATTGTCTTGTTTTAACGCGGCGGGCTTGCGTTCTAAGAACACGGTTTTTGTTCTTAGAACATCTCTGGTTTCTGAGAACAACTCGTGGTAGGCCTATAGAAATGCCGGGACGGTCGGTCCCTGCCTAACATAGCCTGCACCACAAAGCTTGCACCGCATGGTGATCGTTATCGTTTTCGTTGGAGCGGGTTTCTTTATCAGCAGCTGGGCCATAACCCGCGTCATGGCCCCCCGCCCCCCCGCCTATAACCTAACGCTCCAGCCCCCAGTGCGCCCCTGGCACTGCCGCCGTGCGCATAAGGATCCGCGTATGCACCCGAATAGGGATCCGCATAGGCATCCGCACAGATAACCGCATAGGGATCCGCATGGGGATCGCATAGAGATATCCATCGGGATCCACGTATGTATCCGCATTGGCATTCCCAGGGGCCCGCATAGAGATCCGCAGAGGGATCTGCATGGGGATCCGAACAGGGATCCGCGTGGGGATCCGCATAGGGGGCGGTGGTCGCGGGCAAGTTGCGGTGCTCTCGGGCACGGTGTTCGTAGGAGAGAGAGCAAAAGGAGGAGAAAGACGACGACGACGGCGACGATGACGACGAGGATGGAGGCGGGAGGTAAGGAGCATACCTCTTATACGCCTCGTGGAGGCAACGACGCCTGCGCAGGCATGTGCTCGCCACAACTCCTCCTCGCTCTTCGTTGTCTGTCGTCGTCGTCGTTGCTCTGCGTTGTCGGTCGTCGTCATCGTCGTCGTCGTTCGTCGTCGTCGTCGTCGTCGCCGTCGTCATCTTCGTCGTCGTCACGTTGTCGTCGGTCGTCATCTTTCGTGGCCGCTCGTCGTTGTCGAACGCCATCGAATGCTTTCGTGGGCCTCTGGAGGCCTTCGGATGATCTGCGGAAGGCCTCTGGAGGCTTCCAGCGGCCTCAGAAGGCTTCTGGAAACCTAAGGAAACCTTTGGAGATTTCCGGAGGTGTCGCTTGTCGTCGTCGTCGTCGTCGCTCGTCGTCGTCGTGTCGCTCTTCGTCGTCGTCGTCGTCCTCGTCGTCGTTGGCTTTTGTCGCTCGTCGTCGTCGTGGTCGCTCGGCGTCGTGGTCGCTCGCCGTCGTCGTCGTCGTCGTCGTCGTCGTCGTCGTCTTCGTCGTCTTGGTCGCTCGTCGTCGTCGTCGTCGTCGTTTGTCGTCATCGTCGTCGTCGTCGTTGTGCGCGCGGACGCTGTGGTGGCGCCGGAACCGCACGGCGGGGGGGAGGGCGTTACGTTATGCCCCGCCTTGTTCCCCCCCCACAACGCCCGTTACCGCCGCGAATGAAACAAATCGCTCTTGTTTTCCCGATCGGCGCGGGCCCTCGCACCCCCCCTCTTCCCCCCCATAGAGTAAATATTTGCTGTTTTTGGTGCCTGTTTCGAGCAGGTGGAGTCTCTCCCCCATGGGACGCACTGCTGCAAACAGTCGCACTGAGCAGAGGCCTGGAGCCAGATCCCCCCCCCCCTCTGCGCCCAGTGCCGCAACGCCGCATAAGAAAACGCTCGCACAGCTTGCAGCGCAGAGGCTGCACCGCAGAGGTTGCACCGCACAGCCTGCACCGCGCAGCCTGCGCCGCGCCGCTTGCACAGCCAGAGTGTGCACGACGTCGCTGCAGCGCGCGAGGCGCCCTCGCCCGCCCCAGAGGCGGCCGCGGGGCCGCGGCGGTGGGCGCTCCCAGCGGGGGCACCCTGGCGCCGGAGGCGCCGCCCCTCCCCCCGAGCTGCGGCCGACCGTCGCTCGGCATCGGCTGGAGGGTGACGGTGGGGGAAGCTTCAAACGACGCGAAGATCGGGACAAAATCGGATCGGGATAACTCGAAATCTCTGAGAATTGGCGGGTTTGGAGGATGTATTGGGCGCCGCGGCCGCTCCAGAGCGTTCCGGAACGCTCTGAGAGCGCTCCGGAACGCTCTGGAGCGATTTATCCCGATCCTAGCCCTGTTTTAAATCTCGACTAGACGTAAGAGTGACCTTTCGCCGGAGTGACCTCTGGTGCGGGGACGGATTGGTCCCCAGATGATTGAGAACGGAGCAAGAGCAGCGGCTTGCGCGCCCAGGTTTGGTCCCCCGCGGCCCCCCAAAAGCCGCGCACCAAAGGTCACTCTTACCCAGGGTCACTCTTGCGTGTAGCCGAGAAGCGACGTGGGCGCAGACCCCCAGAGCACTGAGGAGATCAAGATGAAGACCTTCGGGAATTCGAGAATACCGAGTCTTCGGGTTCCAGAGGCCGGTTTCGGGCCCTGGGGTTGTCAGAAATAGGCTATAGACGAAACGCCGGTCCTAAGGAAGGGGTCAAGACGCCTGGGGCCCGGATGATCCAAAATGTCGAGTCGTCTGATGGTTGGGGACTTGTTTTTCGCCGATTTCGGCCAATGGGCCATCAAGACATCCGGGACAGGGTCGATTTTTTTGGGGGGACCGTGTTGAGAATATCAAGGCGTCGAGCTTCTGGAGGGTGATGCCAGGTCGCCCGAGGGGGACGCGAAGGCCATGCCGTTTTTTGTATCACGGCTCGGGCTGCAGGTGCGCTCGTCTCCAGGGCGGCGGCGCGGGGTCGGGAGGACGACCGTGCGCCTCGCAGGCGGTTCTTAAATCGGGCACGTCCCTCCACAGGAGGAATATTCAGAAATAGTCAGACAATAATCAGGATATGTTTTTCTTATTATTTAATTACCATTTTCGACTATTTGTTGACAGTGTTTGAATTTGTCGTTCAAAATCCGCCTGTAGGAGGACCGACCTAAGGCTCTCTCCCGCTGCCGCAAAGTAAGGGCCCGACCACAAGAAACCTCCCACAAGAGACCCAACCCTGAGACCCCAGGACGTCCATCGAGTTTTGGCGTGGGAACACCACGCCTTCCATCGCAAAGCCATCGGAACCCAAGAAGCCCAGGGCACCCTGGAGGCAAGTTGGGTGTTTCTTGGCATGGGCCTCCACTGTGGCCATGCTGGCTCAAGTTGCAGCCTCGAAGCCATGGGGGCCTCAGCTTGCGCGCGGCCAAGGGGCAGGCCCAGGCCCCGCGCTCTGCGACAGGACGCACCTGCTATAGACGTTTCGCTGCGAGTTTTTGTTGCTCGAGCGACTTCCCATTCCGACTCGCACACGCCGATGTGTTTTTAGGCCCAAGAAGCCTACGTGGGCATGCACACGCTATCATCGGCCAAGCACCTGAGCCATTCGGATCGAGCGCGCTCGTGGCTTGCAGGCGCCCCCGTCAGTCCAGAATTCAACCAACGCAGCACGCGAGAAACTGGTGGCGAGCGGCGTTGACAAGAGGACGGGGCCCAGGGGCTCGCGGCAACCTGGTGCTCCCAAGTCGGACCCGACGCTGCAAACCATCCTCAAGCGCTTCGTCGGTCTCGAGAAAAGCACATTTCCCCCTGTACCACCGTGGGCTGCTACGTCTGCGAGAGGAAGAGGACGGCGTCAAGGAACTCAAGGGCCGTTTCGCGTATTGGCAGAAGGCCAGTTGGTTCGCCGACCACCTCTATGATGAACAGACAGCGAAAGAAATGGTGGAGAAGTTGCAGCGGCTGCCACAGGACGCGAAGCCATTGCGCACGCAACAGTTCTCCATCCTCCATCATTACGCGCTTGGCTCGGGCAGGGACGGCAGGTGGCCACGAATCTCGAGGCCAAGCTGGAGGCCGCCATCAAAGGAGAGGGAGGAGATCAGAAGCATCGCGCAGAAGAAGTTGGACGACGCGGAGCAAGTCCTTCAGGTGGCGAAGCGTCCAGTCGCGGTTTCGCAGCAGGGGGCCAAATGAAGCGTCGCCAAATCCGCCGCAGCAGGCGACGGTCATTCCCTCAAAACGAAGGGCTTCAAGGCTTGGTTAGTTCTGGTCTCATCTGCGGGACTAGAAGACAGGCAGTCATCACGAAGTCCTTCGGGGCACTTTGGAAGCACAGGCTGCGCGCGCTCGCGATGGCGCCGCCGCTGCCCGCCCCCCCCCCGCCGTTCCCGTCGGAGACGACGGCGCTGATGCCATGCTGGTCGGCGAAGGCGGGCTTGGCCAGATCGCCGGGGCCGCCCTCCTCGCTCGGGAAGCCGAGCAGGCAGCATCTGCGGCGGCCGAAGGTGAACCGCGAGACGCAGCTCGCCTAGCGGCCGCGGGCGCTCGGCAGGAACTGCAGGGGCAGATCAGGGCTGGCGCGTCGAAGGCGCATCGAGTTTCGCGAGCGGGCGAAGCACGCGGAGGCGCACAGGATGCACTGCGCGCACATTAATCCCATCCCGCGAAGCACGCCTGAGAACGACTGTCCGGATCCCGAGGAGTTCGCGGCGAGCCCCATCGCAAGCTTCCGTTTGCCGGGGGGCCGCGCTTGCAGCCATCGGCCAGCGCCCGCAGAGCTGCGCCCGGGGTCGAAGTCGCCGCGCTTAGCATAATGGGGCCCGCGCCTGCGCCCCCGAGCCATCACCTACTGAGCCGGGCACGGGGTCGCCGCCGCGCTCTGCCCGCGGCGGCGGGGCTGGCGCTGGCACCCCCGAGCCAGCGTGTATCGAGCGGGACTTGCGGCCGTTTTCGCCGCGGGCGGCGGGCGATCTTGGCGCGGCGCTCGCAGGAGACTCCGAGGCGAGAACGCGATCGATTTTCAGTGACCAGAGGTCGGTTTCAGATTCCACCCCTTCGACCTGACAGGCAGTTCGGCAGTTCATCGGGGGCGCCAGCGGACGCGCGGACTCCGTCGGTCGGTTCGCCTTCTTCGCCCGCGCCGTCGACGGGCGCCCCGTTTTTCCCTCCGGATATAGCGGGGGGGACCTCGCGGCGGGGAATCGCTGGTGGAGCTTCGCAGCGCACCGCCCGCGGCAGATGTTCCGCGCGATGAGGGCGCGCCAGGCCGCCCAGGTCGATGTCGGAACGCTGGCCCCGCTAGTCGCCCCCTGCCTGCCGGCGACTGCCCTGGCGGAGCAGCGCCGAAGCTGTCTCCCGCTACCCGCTCGGCCAAGACGCCTGGGGCGTGGAGGGCGACGGAAGGTGTCAGAGGGCAGCCCGTTGGAGAGCGAGCGTGAGGGCCCGGGCGCGGGGCCCCGGAAACGGTGGCTCCATGGGCCGCGCGCGGGCGACGCATCCTCGATTGCCGCGCTCGGCGGAGGAACCAATTGAAGCCCCTCGCCTGCGCCCGTGCGCGAGATGCGCAAGAGGAAAAGGTTGGAATAAACGAGGGCGGCGAGGTGCGCGTCGCAATTTGCCCCAGCCAATCTGACAGGAAGGGGTTCAATGCCAGCGCGAGGAGGCTTTGGCCAGCAAGATGGGCCTCGGCGAGGGCATTCGAATGACTATCGACAACCTGAAGCCCTTCGCCCCCCCCCAAGAGAGAGAGAGAGAGAGAAATAAAGAAACAGAGAGAGAGAGAGAGAGAGAGAGAGAGAGAAAGAGAAAGAGAAAGAGAAAGAGAAAGAGAAAGAGAAAGAAAGAGAAGAGAGAGAGAGAGAGAGACAGAGAGACAGAGAGACAGAGAGACAGAGAGACAGAGAGACAGAGAGAGAGCAAGCGGCACGCGGTCCACCATAAGTTCTGCATCGCGAATGCGGTGCGCAACGGAGTGCGGACGCAACTTCGAGCTCACCGAGCGGGGTGCCGCACTGAAGGACTTTGCCGATGTGGCGCTCAGAACTCCCCCCCTTGCCTCGCCTAGTTGATCGCAATCGACCCGACGTACTACAAGCCCGAGAGGACGCCGAGATCCTTGCTCGTCTACTGGAGCAGTCGTGAGCACGGCGATGAGCCTGGCTTCATTCAAGGAGCACTCGCCTATCAGATCTCCGCGACCCCACCTCTGGATCCCGGGGTGAATTGCGTCATCCTGGACAGCCGAGGTCTAGTCAGCAGCGCCGCGCCTGAGTCAATGGCGCGGAGCGTCCTGCGCGATGATGATGACGGAGAGGAGGTCGCAATCGGCGGGTCCTGCACCAAGCCGCCAGCGCGGGAATTCCAAGGCGCAGGATGGAGCACTGCTGTTCTCGACCCGCGATCCAGCGCCCGGCGCTCTGCAACATCCACGCTCCTGTCCCAGCGTCCCCGCCGCAGTCCTCGGCCATGGGGGAGCACCTCGGCGCGGCCCTCGTGTCCCGGATCGCTGGCCGCCCCTGCCACGTCCACGCCGACTTCATGGGAGTCATCAAGCTGGGCGAACAAGGGAATGGAGCAGCAGCTCGCCAGCAAGACGCCCTACGCATGCGTATCCCTTCGTGTGCAGTCGCTCGAGGGCTTCCAGCGCATCCAGCAGCGCCACAGTGTGAAGGCGCACAGGCCCGGCACTGACTATGAGGCGATGGATGACGAGCATCGTCGATTCACCGACGCCAACGTCGTCGCTGATGCACGAGCAAAGACGGCGACCACCATGCACCCAAGCCCCGATGATGACGCGATCGAGGCCATGGAGACGGCTGCCGGCAGCATCGGCAAGATCGACCAGCTCGTTGCGAACGCGATGCCGATCTTCGACATGGGCAACCAGCTGAGACGGACGAGGCGAACCCCAGCACATAGACGGGCGGCTAGCACGCACAAGGCTACGTGTCATCAGTGGCAAGACGGTGGGCTCGGAGTTCAGTGCCGTGCTTGCCTACAACTGCATGTACCAGGAGCCCCACTTCCACTGACGGGACGCGGCGGTGCCCCGAGGTTCCTCGAGGACTTCCAGCTCAACCCGCTAGGTGACAAGCTCGTCGCGGTCAACCAGTGCGGGACACTGCAAGGAGACAGCACCGAGATCGTCATGGCCGTCTTCGGTTGCGTCAAGCGTGGGGCCTTGGCGCATCAACGGCGACGACTCAAACTTCAACTTCCTTGCGTGGCGGCCACAGTCAAGGGCCTGGAGGTCCTGCAGAATCTCAAGAAGAGTAGGGCCGCACGGAAGCTGGCAGAAGTTCATCGATGCCACCTCCCCGCTGAAGTGCGTCAGGGCGGATGCGGTCACCAGCTGCACCTTCGCGAAAGTAGACATCCTCACGAATTGTGACACTGCGCAGGCGAGTCACCACACCTTCGAGCACAGGATGGCGGCCTTGCACCAGCGAGTACGTGAGCGAGAAAGTCAACTGGGTGCTGCACGGGACGAGGGCAACACCATGTTGGGACATGCGCTGAGACGAGGAGATATACTTGAATTGCATAGGGCACCTGCAGGGTCAGCACGCAGGGATGATCTCGAGGGTGGAGGTGCCCTCCAGAGTGATGCGCTGGCGATCCGCAGCACAGCAGCGAGGGCCTACCAGAGGAGCGGTCCATGGACAGCCAGCGCGAGGACAACGGGGACCAGCAGGGTTCCCTGGGCGGCTACTCCTTCGACAGGGCGCTACCCAGCCAAGGACGCACGCCGGCTGACGAGGGTGGGCTAGCGGATGCTGCCCTTAATGGTGCCCCATTCCCCCAGGGGCGCGCCTTCCGAGGTCGCGGACCCCGATCCCGCTGCCGCGGGGAGTCAACGCGACCGCCTACCTGGACAAGGCGCGCCTCTAGCCGCGGGGGCTGGAGGGCGCGGGGGGGCGCAGGAGGTTCGGCCCCCGCTCCCCCCACCGCGGGCGAAGAAGGCAGAGCCGTTGCCTCTGCGCGGTCGGGGCGCCAGTCAACAACCAGAAGGAGAAGCACTGCGAGAAGTGCCAGAGGAACTCGCTGCGAGTCCTGGTGGACGTCTTCGGCTCGATGGCGGAGAGGGAGTTCCAGCTGGCTTGACGCGGAGGCCCAGCGGCCTCACGCCTTCTTCCAACGCGAGGAGTGGTTCGTCGCGAGTTAGAACCAGCGACGAGGAGGACGATGGGCACCTGAGAACCCAAGAAGGGTCTCGAGCACGTGGAGATGAGGGAACTGCTGGAGACCTTCGAGGAGCCAGGTCTTCGGTCGAGGAGAAGGGCAGCGCAAACTCCAGGGGGCTGGAGTTCAAGCGACTCGTGGCCATGGCCACGGGGAACTCGAGGGCGAGGAGGCGCTCGACGTCGTGAGGCCATTCGGCAAGGTCGCGCCCCTCCACTGAGGATGGAGGCCGGGCGGGCGCCCTACCCTCGACCTCCGAGGCCCGCGGTATCGAAATCCTCCTCCTCCAAAAATATACGCGGCTCTCTCTGGGGCGGGGGCCTTCCTTCCGAGTTTACAGTTGGTGGTGCGGTTGCAACATCTCCTTGCGCAGTACGCTTGCAAGGCTATGCTGGGTTATGATGTGGACTGGACGTCTCCGGCTCATCCTTAGTCATTGTCCTCGGAGGCTGTGCTTAGATGGTGGCGTCTCGTTCCCCTGGGTCTCGAGATTCGGATTCGTCGACTTCGCCCCTGGCAAAGTGTCGCTCAGGTCCCAGGTGCCCATCGACAACTCCAGGCATGTTTGTCTAGAACATTTGGATCGGACTTGCCACATGCACGTCCGCGTGGACGGCTCGAGGGACGGGTTTCGCCGCGGACCGAGCGTTTGCGTGCAGATATTGATCGTCTTTCCACCTTCGACGAGGGCGCCCCTTCTTTGAACGGCAGAAGCTGACTGGGCCGAGGAGTTCTGCGCGATCGATGTTCGACAGTTGTGGGCCGCTGTTGGCGGTGAATCATTATCCTCCTGGTGCTTCCTCTATACCTGAGGCCGTTGCAATGGGGGATGGAGTTGAGGTACAATCTATGTATGCCTGCATGATAGTATCTGAGTAAGGGGAGGTATGCGGGCGTGCTTTGCCTGATAGACGTGCTGTATACAATCGCCTTATCAGTCATCCCCGGTATTGGGCCTTAGCCAATGCGCGTACGGTTACGAATCAGTGTTGCGCATGCCTAACCACCTTCGCCCATCACGAAAGTGCGCGACGTCATCTAGCTAAGAGCATGATACGAGGCAGGTGTATTCAGGATAACGCTAGAAACCTGGCAGAGGCACGGGCCCCCTCGTCGCTGACGTGCCCCATGTGCTCGCCCTCTGCAGGCAATTTGCCCGAACTGCAGGTTCATGTGCGTTCTCGCCTGGACCCTGTGCCACTTCCCCCCCATGGAGGCAGCACCGAGTCGGATCCTGGCGGTCTCCGGTGCCCCCGACGCCGCCGAGGCCGCGCCGCGCCCCAAGCGCGGTCGGTCCGAGGAGCTCGCGGCCCAGGCGTTGGGGGAGGGGAAGTCCAGCGGCGGCGGCACTCTGAAGGCGCTTGTCGCCATCCTCGCTCGGCTGGCCCTCCGCAGCGCAGCCGAGCTTCGCGAGCAGCGCGGGGTCGTCTTCGCGACCTTTTTGGTCGACGCCGAGCACGACGCGATCGAGGCTGTCAAAGCCGCGGGCGTGGCCTACCACGACGAAGCCAAGCGCCGCGGGTGGCCCTCATCGGCGCCATAGGCCCCCAGACGACGCTGCCCGCCGAGATCAAGTCGCCCCTGCTCGAGTATTGGAACACACTCATCATGGATAACGACATCGACACGGTGGCCAACAGCGCCCGCGCGCGTCGGCTCCGCCCGACGCGCAAGCAGGAGGGCGGGGCCGCGCTGATGAGGCTCACGTTCGCCGTCGATCACGCCTGCCAGCACATGGGAGCGGTCCTGGTGAAGTTTGTCCTGCCCATCGGGGGGATCCGCAAAATCGGGGCGGCCCCGAAGGGAACTTTTGAAGAGAGATGTCCAGAAGTTGCTCGACCAGCTCGAGGGCAATAAGTAGTACATTCAGCATCTGTGCGCGAAGTGAATAATGTTGAGTCCGATATTACGATGGCTGTCGCTTGTGGGGCGTCTGTGAATGCTAGGGTTTAGTATCTTCTTTCGGCAGCTCGTCTGGGACGGTTTTGCTGTGACGGTTGGTGACTATGAGAGTGGCGAGCGTGACGGGTCTGCTGTACTCAGCCCTGCATGCCTGCCTGGGGAGTCTCATCACGATCAGCCTGATATAATTTTGACGTTACCAGAGCTGCTTGAGGAGTCCGTACCGGTGGTGCCACGAGCTGTGGCTACGGTTGCGTCTGTGTCTACTACCTCACGGCCTTTTGCGGGGCAGACTTCGTCGACGGTATTCCCATCGTCCTCGTCTCGATCTGAGACAGTAATTAGTAATAGCACGCATTCTCCTGGGGCTCTTCCTGGGTCTTCGACCTCGGCACTCGGTCGCTTCGAGGCCCGTCGGTCTCCTTTCGTTCGTCGGCATGGTCCTCCTCCTCCTCCTCCGCCCGCGTTTCGTGGTAGTGGGCGATTTCTAGAGTTACAGCGTCGCGGTGCACTCCCCACTTCTGCCCTGGACCCCTTTGGGCGGGTGACTGGTGCCTGTGGTGTCTCTTTAGTGGCGCGTTCGGCCACGTCGAATGCCTTTGCTCTAAGGGGGGGGGACACACGATTCTCGGACTGTCTTTGTTGCTCAGGCTTGCGCGAAAGTAGCGAGTCCGAGGGTGGGAGTTCGGGCCCGCGGGGGTCTTACGGGGCCCTGCTGTGGGAAGGGGTAGTGCCATGAGTCGCCCACAGGATCCTCCTCCATCGGGGTCGTCTCTAGGCTAGTGCGTTTTCCCCGCCAACAGGGCCTTTCATATGGGAAGTTGGCCACTGCTGCCACTTAGATCAATGTTTTCTTTAGTCTCCTAAGTCGGGGAGATTTGGGGTCCGATCGTTCTTTGCTTTGCTTTGCTGCTGCTCCTCCTCCTCCTCCTCCTCCTCCTCCTCCTCCTCCTCCTCCTCCTCCTCCTCCTCCTCCTCCTCCTCCTCCTCCTCCTCCTCCTCCTCCTCCTCCTCCCCGTGGAAGTACATCCGAGGAGCCACGAGGCGCTCCGGGGCACGCTCCTTGACCGCAGCTCGGGCGGACGTTCCGCGCGGTCGGAGCAGCGAACGGGGATACGGGATCGCGAGCTGCGCGCAGAGCGGGAGGCAGAGGGGAGGGCGGCCCCGCGGAGGAGGGCGAGGGGCGGAGGCGCGCCTCTGGCACACGGAAGCACGCAAAGTGTTCCGAGCAGGTTCGACGGCGGAGTGGTGCAGGGTAGATCGTGCCCCGCAGCATGCTGGAGGCCATCCTTGGCTGCACTGTGCCATCTTGGCATGCGCGGCCAGATCGGAGCCAACTTGGACACCCCGACCGCCGAGGCACCATGCGCGGCTCTGGGTATGGATTGGCGGCGCGCAGAGGGGGGCAGGGCGAGGGGGGAAGGCTTCTTAGAAGCACCCCTGCTTCTCAGAAGGCGCGGGCCTTGTCTGTAAATGTAAGGCCCGCGGCTTCTAAGAAGCAGCCTCCTTCTGAGAAGCCTTCCCCCCTCCCCCTACCCCCCTCTGCGCGCCGCCAAATCGAGGCGATGCAGATCTTGGCGCGCAGCCAGCTCGCTTGGAGAGCCGGGGTGCCCTGGGGGGGGGCGTCGGCGCCCGCCTCGGGGCGCCGGGAGGCCGGGCCCCGGAGCGCGCCGTGCCCCCCGCGGCGGCGGCGATAGAACAAACACGACCAGGACCACGACGACGGCGGAGGGTGGCGGCGACGACGGCGGCGACGGCGGCTGTGGCGATTACCCGGCGCTGCTCCGTCGCGAAGGCGAGCGTCATGAACAGGATGGCACGGGCTATGAAGGCGATGAAGCTGAGCGACTGGGAGAAGGATCCAGGGGGGGAGGAGAGGGGGACGAGGAAATGGGGGCTGGGGGGAACAACAGGAGGTTCAGAAGGAGGCAGTCATCGTCAGAACCATCCACCTCCTTCCTATCGGGACAGGGCAAGATGGCTTTCCTAGCAAACTCTCCCTTGGTGGGGATGTGTTTGTGTGAAACCTCAAGGAGACGACACCTATCCCCACCTGTGTACGAGGGGTAGGTCGGCCGGCGGGCTGCGGTTTCTTCATTGGGGGGGTGTGGGGGATGGTTTTCTCTGTCCAGAAAGATGGAGAGGAGAAGGGGGACGAGGAGGAGAAGGAGGAGGAGGAGAGTTCAGTCACAGACAAGAGGTGGGAGGAGGAGGAGGAGGAGGAGGAGAGTTCAGTTACAGACAAAAGGGGGAGGAGGAGGAGGAGGAGGAGGAGGAGGAGGAGGACGAGGAGGATGCCAGTGAGAGAGAGAGAGAGACACACACACACACACCGTGTGGCTCTGGCAGCATACGCTCTTGTCACCACATCTGAGGGACCCTGATACAGGCCACCCTCCTTTCGCAGCGCACACAGCTCACTCTTGGGTCGCCAACAGGGTCTGACCCCGCTCCGCAGTGCTCCTCTTCTTCAGGCACTACAGCACGCTGACACTCTGAGGGATTCTCAATAGGCTGCCCTCGTGTTACAGCCGCACACCGTGCCAGTCTAGCGTCCAGCTGCATACGCCCGCCACTGCTAGGCACCCTCGAGGGGCCCTGGTGCAGGCCACCCTCCGCCCACGGCGTGCGCAGTGAGCACTTGGGCCCCAACAGGGTCTGGCCCCGCTTCGCAGTTGTTTCTTCACAGCATGGCCGCACCCCTTCACGAATCAGCAGAGGCATGGTGGGGCTGGAGGTGGTAAGGGGAGGAAGGCTGCACCAGGTTTGGGGTCAACCTCAAATCCTGGGCCTGCAGCCCTAGACTTGCATTTCTGCAGGTCTACCTTTAGTTGCCGAGGCGACACTCACCATATAAGGTAGACTGACACAGCCAGCGTGTTTTGATTGCTCACAGTTGCAGCCTCCCATGGCGGCACATACTCTGAAAAAAGGATGGATATCGGTGTTGTTTGACGTTGTTTGAGTTGAGCGGGGGACAAAACGGAGATACCACGGTTTGGGGTCAACCCAAACCTTGGGCAGCAACCCAAATATTGCTACCGTTAGCTTGTTTCTCACATTCGCAGCAACCAGACGCATCAGCGCATTACCATGGGAGGCAACAACTTGTTTATACTATGAGCAGGCACCCCTTCTCTGGAGCCATGCATACCAGCAGAGCTATTAATTTATGTATTGGTATTCGTACCAGACATGCCTGGCTCACACTACCCCATGCGCCTAGACCTACAGGCCAGCCTGCACAGGCAAGCCTTTGCAGCGTGCCAGACCTGCCTTCTCACCTCGTCCTCACATGCCTACCCCTCATACTCCGGACATGCATTCGGCGACGGTGGCCCCATCCTTTTAGTAACCGAAGAGCGGGCCTATTGCCGGCTAAAAAAGCGGGCCTACTGCTGGCACAGAGGGACCATTGTACAGTACGAGCCTACAGCGCCGTATCTGGTATGTTTGGACCATACAGCACGGTTTTTTGACTATACAGCACGGGCAGCATCAGGCGTATAGGGGAGCTGGAATGGGACGTGCACACAGGCTGACTGTTAAGGCCCACGCCGTACACGTGAGCATTCTGCCCACGTGTACTTATGTGGCGCACCAGCTGCTGACAACCCGCGCAGCAGCAAACACCAGTCGCGCATGTTAATTTTTCTCAAGACCACGTTCGACGTGTATTCCTTATCTCGCCTACGTGCAAGTTCAGCAGCACTCAATGATTCACCATGGCCAGTCCTGCACCTCTCTTGTGACTTTATAGCACGGGCAGCATCCCAAGAACTGCTAGTTTAACGAGGTTCGGGGTCAGCCAAAACCCTGGGCGGCAGCCCAAAGACTGCTGCAGCCAGTCTGTTTCTCAGCTGCAGTCTGCCAAGACGGCACATACTTTTCGACAAAACAGAGGGTTGGGATGGGCGAGTCATTGCACGGGTATTGGGGTGATCAGCCTTACGTGTTGGGGTGCGCCAAAACCCTGGTCAGCAACCCGAGATTCGCGCACAGTGCCGATGTTCTTTCCGAATGAAGATCGTTGCTTTTTGCCTTACAAGCGCCGCATACAGTGGTGGCAGGACCTACGACTCTGTCAGACGTCTTTTATTACCTATGATGTGTTACTTCGTTTACTGATTAGGATCCGTGTCGTTCTACTGTACCTGCTCAGCCGCGACGACACTCACCATCGATATGAAGGCTATTGCTCTATAGTGTTACCTTGTGTTGTTGTTGGTTTCCCATGATTATCGTCACACTGGGCGGGCGCCTATTTTCACAAATAGTTTTAGTCAGCGCTCTTTCTCTTGCATTTTGTTCGCGGCCCCTGCCAGGTGTATGAACCGGGCCCAGCCTTTTCTCCAGTTCCAGCATCAGCGCGACAGGCTCGATCTTGATGTTGGTCGAACGTTAAAGGAGGAGGAGGAGGAGGAGGAGGAGGAGGAGGAGGAGGGGATGGGTGGGGGAGGAGGAGAAGAGGAGGAGAAGGAGGAGGAGGCGGAGGAGGAAGAAGAGAAATACCTAGAAGAAGTATGATAACAAACACAACAAGAAGCGGAAACAAAGAGGGAGGAGGAGGAGGGAGGAGGAGGAGGAGGAGGAGGAGGAAGAGGACGAGGAGGAGGAGGAGGGAGGAGGAAGAGGAGGAGGAGGGGGAGGGGGAGGGAGGGAGGAGGAGGGAGAGGAGGAGGAGGAGGAGAAGAAAAGGAGGATGATGTGGGATGGGAGGAGGAGGAGGAGGAGGAGGAGGAGGAGGAAGAAGAGGAGGAGGAGGAGGAAGAGGAGGAGGACGAGGAGGATGTGGGATGGGGGGTAAAGGAGGAGGAGAAGGAGGAGGAGGAGGAGCGTGGAAGCTCTATCACCGCCTGGAAGGCACAAACCTCCCGCAAGATCGGTGGAACCCCATACAGGTGGCCCCGAGATCCATGTTTTTGGAATTCTACGCTTGCTTGCAGGTGAGATCTCTGGGACATTGGGGTTGGTTGCCGATGTGCAGGGGGAGAGGCCTTCGTGCCTTCCACTTCGGCGAGTGTGGACTTGGACCGCCACCGCCACACCCCCACTGCGTGCCAACTACGTGCCGTCTAGCCACCCCCCTCGCATCCTTCATTTTAACGCACCCGTGCGGCCAGGCAACCGCACCGCTAGCTAGCAAAGGCGATCGGCTACCAGCCACCGTACGCATGCATCGCAGTCCCAGTCATTTCTCACCGCCTTCTCGTCCACCAGACGCCGCCAGCCTCGACAGCCATGGCGTTGGCCGAGGCCACCGCGGGCAGCAACCATGGTCACCGCCCGCGTGCGTGCATTTTCAGCTTACCTCCTACCCCCCGCTCCATCAGACGTCGCCGACTTCGGCGGCCACGTGTTGCTCAACATTTCGAGCGCCGCAAGCGTCACATTGAGCGCCCGCCCATCTTTTGCACGCTACTATGGCTCAATTGGGCAGAGCGCCTGCCGCACGCATGCTCCCCCAGCACCCAACCTGGAAAAGCGGGGGGCATCTCCCAGGAAGTGGACCGTGGGCACCCTCCCAGGGCGTTGGCCCAACAGGGCCAGCAGACCCGGAGGTGGGGGGCGGGACCCTCACACGGCCCGCCGGGCCCCCCCACCCGCTCTTTGCATTGCTGCCACGAGCCTATCCCCACCAACCCTCCCCCTGTTCGAGGTCATGGTCCCTCTTCCCTTGTCCTCCCCCAACGCACTGTGCGACCACTGCCACGCTGCAGCCACTGCCGCCGCACCGAGCCTCCCCGCCTCCGCTCTCCCCCTCTTCCTGGTGTGACAGGTTCCTTCGTCTTCCCTTTTTCCTCATGCAACAGATTCCTCTGCTTTCTGTCCTGCTCCCGTCCGTCTGTTTGTTCTTGCGTTACTTCAGCTACGCGTAAGAATGCGTGCGCCGCCGGTCACCCTTGGAGCGACGCCCCAGGCGTTACCTCACCCTCAGTTGATCACGCCCCCCCCAGGGCCGACCGGCTGTGAGGGGGGGAGGCTACGTTCTGACGAGTTTTCGAGCCACGAGATGCCAGGAGCCAGGAGCCGGGACGACGATGAGGGTAGGAAGGAGGGGGAGGATTGATCGAGGATCTGCAAATGTTGGCCTTTTTGGGCGCCCTTGGGATGGAGGGGGCCTCGTCGCCCCGGCTGGACCCGCATCGACGTCTTGGTCAGATCGAGATCCAAGATAACTTCAGGAATCGATGTCGAAGGGGAGGGGGCTGGAGGAGGAGGAGGAGGAGGAGGAGGGAGGAGGAGGAGGGAGGAGGAGGAGGGAGGAGGGGAGGAGGAGGAGGAGGAGGAGGAGGAGGAGTGGAGGAGGAGGAGGAGGAGGACGACGACGACAAGGTAGGACTAGGAAGGACGAGGGAAGTGGGAGGTGGGTAGGGAGGGAGGGAGGGAAGGAAGAGAAGCAGAAGCAGAAGGAGGAGGAGGAGGAGGAGGAGGAGGAACAGAAGGGTCGGGACGGGGGGAGGGACGGGGGTGATGTTCGAACGTTCCCAGGTGTTTTCACAGGGTGGCCGAAAATTCTCGCAGGCATCGGGGGTGTCCAGGTCCATGAGGAGCAAGGGGAGAAGGAGGAGGAGAGGGAATCGAGGAATCGAGGCGTGCAGCACCGTCTGGGTGGGACAGCGAACGGCCAGAGCAGAGAGGGGCTGCAGAGGCGCCGCCCACGCCACACGACCTTTCAAGGCTGCACGCTGTTGCAGTCCACGTGGGTCCGCGGGGACCTCCCAACCTTCTACCAGCCTGGACTGGCAGCCAAGGCGCCTCCCTGACGGAGGCGAGTGCAGAGAAGAACCGCCACCGCACGACGCCAGGCTCGTCGACGGGGATGTCAAACGCTGGGCAACAGATGCCAAGACAGGC